CCCGCCCCCCTCCCCCGCGTGGCGGGCAGGACCCCCAGCGCGCTCTCCATCTGGTCGTCCTGCGGGCGGGCGGCCGCTGCCCCGGCGAGTCGCGCCCGCGCCGGGCCCCCACCCCCCGTCGTCATCTTGGAGGGGGGGGAGGGGAGGACGACTGAAGAGCAGGAGGAGAAAGAGGAGGATGACGGGGAAGACGAGGATGAAGAGGCGGCAGCGTTCGGAGAACACCATTACCAACAGGATACAGGATACAGGAGGAGGAGGAGGAGGAGGAGGAGGACGAGTAACAGACCCAGGATGCATCAACGATGTCGCAGCACACCCTTCGGCCCCACCCCGAAACCCCCTCCTCAGGAGTCCCTACAACCCTTCCTTGTCACTGCGGGAAGCCACCTCCCTTGTTTGTCTTTTTTTCACCAAAAAAACTAATCAACGAACCAAAACTGCCCTACCCCCTCCCCTCGAAAAACGAGCGCGCCCCGTGGGAAGGGCCGACAAAAGCATCCTCCATCCGTGTAGCCGCTGACCGGACTTCCACGTGTGGACATGACTTCTGAGGGCGTCTCAAGCGAGACACCCATTCTGAAAACGATCCGCACTCCATCCGTCTAGCTGTTTCACAATTGGACTTGTCTGGCGATATGCTTTTAGACAAATCTCTAGCATCAGCTCCATGTTGGACAGAAGCCGGCATCACTTATTGAAACGATTGAGAATGTTGACCACATGCGCGAGGAGATAAAGCGAGGACCACATTCTGACAAAACGAAAGGTCAGACCTCCATTCTGGTCACGGATGGCTTCTGTTGACACGAAAGCGCGCGACGCTGAGACGAGAGACGCATACTGAAAGTCATCCACCCTCCAACCATCTAGCTGCCGGGAACCTGTAGAACGTGTGCGGTGCGCGAAGGCGAAATCCGCATTATGAAAGCGACTCGCTCTCCACCCTTACAACTTTTGCATTTCGGGAGAGCGTTTTTGATTCGTGGCCATACTGGCCGATATTGGTTGTAGAGAAAACACGAAGAACTGGGGGACCACCCCACTCTCCCCTCGTAGCATGTCCCCGGAAACACTGCAAGCGCCCGCGCGAGCCTTGTAGCAAGGTTCGGCCGTAACGCCTACGCGCACCTACGCCTGCGAGCACCGCGCGTGATTGACACAACTGGACGGCGAAGATAAGGAAGACAAAACCTGCCAGAACCACAACAACCTTGCGAGCACAGCCGTGCGCAAAAAGGTATGCCAGACTGTGAGACCACACTGCGCGAACATAACAACCTGCGAGCACATGCCACCGCAACACACGGGCGCCACAACGGTACCGCAACTACGCGCAGAAGATTGATGGACTCTGCGGATGCCACAATCAGCCACCATGTCATTGAGGCACAACTTGAAACGTCCTCAGGTCCTTTGCCTCATCCGCGAAGCCTCAGTCCTCAATCCAGAGGATTCTGGAAGTGGCCCGGACAACAAATTGCCGAATCTTCTGTTCGGGCCCAGGAGGGCGCCAAGACGGGCCAAGAGGGACCCAAGAGGCCACCCAGACGGTCCAAGAGTGCCCTGAATCGCCACACGATCTGTCCAAGACGCCCAAGATGGCCCCACAACGGCCCAAGAAGCCTTCGAGATGCCCAAGTGAGGCCCAAGAGCATTCCCAAGAGGGCACCGAGAGGCTTAAATCATTGTTCCAATTGTGTTTCAATATTTTCAGGGCTTTCCTTTCTTCTAAGCTCCGACGCCCCAAGGCGTCCCAAGAGGTCCCCAACACCGCCCCGAGACGGCCCCAGAGGCCCCCAAGAGGGCCCCAAGACGGCCCAAGAGGGCCCCGAGAAGGCTCAAGAGGCGCCAAAGACGGCCCTAAGACCGCTCCAAGACGGCGCAAGAGGGGGAACATGAACCGACAGTTCTAGCCTTTCGCACCCAAGAGGCGCCCAGGAGGCCCCAAGAGGCCCCAAAGAGGCCCTAACAAGACCCCGAGAGGCCCTAGGAGGCCCCCCAAAGGCTCAAAAGGGGCCCTAAGGAGACCCCAAACAGCCCCCCCTGGAGGCATCAAAACTGCCACCAGGAGGCCCCCGAGAGGCCTCGACGAGATCACAACAACCATCCAAGAGGCCTCAGACATGTTGATGTTGGACGTTGAAGTCCCAAGAGTGGTGTCTTGGTACGCTTCAATGGGTTGTCTCCCAACGAGGCGGACCCCTGTGGAAATGAACCATTGTATGGGGCCTATGAGGAGGGAGCTGTGGGGGAGGGTTTAATCCAACATCGTTGATGAGTCTTTGATTTAAACTGGTCTTCCTCAATCCGCCCCCTCCTCCCCCTCCTTTTCCTCTGCCTTCTCCTCCCCCATCCACCTCCTCCTCCTCCACCTCCTCCTCCTCCACCTCCTCTCCTTCTTCTTCTTCCTCCTCCTCCTCCTCCTCCTCCTCCTCCTCCACCCTCCTCCTCCTCTCCTTCCTCCTCCTCCTCCTCCTCGTCCTCCTCCTCCTCCCCTCCTCCTCCTCCTCCTCCTCCTCCTCCTCCTCCTCCTCCTCCTCCTCCTCCTCCCCCTCCCCCTCCCCCTCCCCCTCCTCCTCCTCCTCCTCTCCTCCTCCCACCTCCTCCTCCTCCTTTTCCTCCTCCTCCTCCCCCATCCCCACCCCAGCCATTTTTCGCCCGCCCGAGCGCCCCCTCCCTGCACGGGGCGCGCAAGGGTGTTTCGCGGGCCAACTTCGAAGTGGCCCTGCCCGCGAGAGCCGACATCAAGAAGCATGGCGCCCCACGTCATCAGCTACAATACTGAGATCAGGCGCGTGCGCACCAGCCGAGAAACGTGCCGTCCTCTCCTCGTTTCCCTCCTCCTCCTCCCGTCCCTCTTCCACCTCGCGGCGAGCAGTGGCGCCAGTTGCGGCGCCGCTGCCAAAGTGCAGGCAAGCATCAGAAAGCACGAGCAGCACAGCAACAGCTACAATGTTGGGAGCGGTGCATGCGACGGCAGGCGAGCGGGTGTCAGCCATGAACAGCAGCGTCATCAGCTACAGTGCTGGGAGAGATCTGTGGGGCGAGAACGTGCGAGCTAACGTCATCAGTTACAGTGCTGGGGCCAGTTCGTGTGGGAGCGGCCATACCGAGGAGCAATGCAGGGAAGCAGGCAGTGGCAGCAGGGACTGTCCACGCGAGAATGCGAGAAATTAGAAATGCAGGGGCAACATCTTCAGCTACATTGAAGCGGGGGCCAGCTCGTGCAAGAAGGCATGCAGCGTCAGCATGGTCTGTCGGTGCGAGGCAAGCAGTGGCAGCAACGGTTGTCGGTGGCGAACGGCCAACAAGAACAACTTCTTCAGCTACGTTTGGGAGCGGTGCATGCGACGGCAGGCGAGCGGGTGCCAGCCATGATCAGCAATGTCATCAGCTACAGTGCTGGGAGCGGTCGGTGCGGCGAGAACGTGCGAGCCAACGTCATCAGCTACCGTGCTGGGGCCAGCTCGTGTGGGAGACGCCATACCGAGTAGCAGTGGCTGCAAGAGCGGTCGGTGCGAGAAGGCAGGCAATGGCAGCAACAGTTGCCGGTGCCAAATGGCGAGGCAAGAGCACTTCATCAGCTACAAAGCTGCCAGGGTCAGCTTGTGCGAGAGAGCAGTGGCAGCAGGGACTGGCAGTGCAAGAAAGCAGGCAGTGGCAGCAGTGGCTGTCGGTGCGAAAAGGCAGGCAATGGCAGTTGTGGCTGTCCGTGCCCGCCGGCGCAGCACGAACACCTCATCAGCTACACTGCTGCTGGGGTCACCTTGTGCGAGAAGGGCAGGCAGTGGCAGCGGGAGCTGGCAATGCGAGAAGAACAAGCAGTGGCAGCGAAGCTGGCACTGCGTGTAGACGCAAGCGCACGTGCAAACGTCATCAGCTGCAACGCTGGGGTCAGCTCGTGCGAAACGGCAGGTGTTCCCACGGAAGGCAGCAGGCGGCGGCGTGCGCCAGAGCACTCAGCAGGCCGCCGCAGAGGGCTATGCTGCCGAAGGACGTGGCTCGAAAGATGGGCCAACCACCTGGGAGTGCCCCTCCTCTCCTCGTCGCTCCTCGCCGCCACGGCTGGGCCCTCGCCGCCACGTGAAAGAGACGGCATGGGGAAGAAATCGCTGGACTGATGTCAGCGACTACAATTCCAGAGCAGAGCCGAACCTTCTCGCCCAGGGACGGCCTGGGGTAGGGGAAGCTTTCATCGCTACCGTTGCGCGTGTTTCGCGACCTCGGAAGTTTGGCCGGCATGATCCAGCATGATCCCCCATCCCCCTCCTCCTCGCTCCTCCTCGCTCCTCCTCGCTCCTCCTCGCTCCTCCTCCTCCTCGCTTCTCCTCGCTCCTCGCTTCTCCTCGCTCCTCCTCGCTCCTCGCTTCTCCTCGCTCCTCCTCGCTCCTCCTCGCTCCTCGCTCCTCCTCGCTCCTCCTCGCTCCTCCTCCGCGGGTGGGCAGCGGGTCCAGCCGCTTCACCGTCCGCGTGGCGCCCTCCAGCCCTGGCTTCGCCGGGGCGGGGGCGGGGCGAGCGGCACGCGCCGGCCCGCCACGGAGGTGGCGTCGCGGGGGTCGCCGCCCTCCCGCAAGGGCTGCGCGAAGCGCGAAGCGCGAATAACTTCGCGCTCTCGCGCCGCCCCCCCCCCCAAAGGGAGAAAAGGAGAACGAGGAGGAGGGGGAGAAGGAACGAGGACCGCGAAGCGCGAATAACTTCGCGCCCTCGTGGGAGCCATTGCTCCTGCGCCCTTTGCTCCTCCCTGTCGTCACCACCACTCAGCCTCCAGCTCGCAGGCTCCGAGTCAGCAGCCCACGTCATCACACGCCCAGTCGTCGTCGACACGATCATCACCACCACAATCATCATCGCAAGCGTTCTCCACATTCTCCTCAAGCTCTTTCACGGCCTTATTCAGCCTCATCTAGCCTCGTCGTCGCCCTCCTCCTCCTCCTCCTCCTCCTCCTCCTCCTCCTCCTCCTCCTCCTCCCCATATCCTTCCTCCTCCTCCTCCTCCTCCACCTCCTCCTCCTCCTCCTCCTCCTCCTCCTACGCCTATTCCTCATTCACCTCCCCTCTAAAACATTCTCTCGGTCATTCACACTCCTCCGTCTCGTTCTCGTCCTCCTCTTCGTTGTCCTGTACCTCCCCCACCTCATCAACATCCTCCCTCAGCTCCTCCCCTTGTCGTCCTAATCGCTCTGGCTCATACCTCGCACTCCTCCCTCATTGACCACCTCCGCCCTCCTTTCCATTTGACTCATCCTCAGCATAGTTACTTTCCATCATATGTTCCACTTGCTCCTGATATTCCTGATGCTCATTCTCTTTCCCCCTATTACTCTGCCCACCCACTTCGTCCTCATTCCCTCATCCGTGCCCCTCATCCCTCCTCCTCCTCCTCCTCCTCCTCTTTCTCCTCATCCTGCTGTAAACATATTCCTCTTCCTCCTAATGTTCATCGTCGGGTTCCCCCTCGTGGATTCAGCTCCCTGCAAAGTTTCACTGTATGTGTGACATGCTGCGCAAAGACTTGGACACTAAAGCGAGCCTGCGAGGCGATGCGGGTACAGCACAGAGGTTGGAGGAGCAGTAGCAGCAGCGCCGACGGAGAGGGCAGAGAGGGGCGGATGAAGGATGGAAGACGGGGGATCCAGTGCGCTGACCGAGGAGCGACCACCAAGATCGTTGTATGGGCGCAGTCAGTGCACCAGTGCAGCGCACGAGTCCGAGAGTGAGGCGAATTGAGGAGTGAACCAACTTACCCATCCTGGGCACGCTGGACACGCGGTGACCAGACCTGCGGTCTGAAATCTGCCGACCCCCTTGTGGGGACACAAGGCTCCAGGGCTCGGGCTTGCTGCTCGCTGCTCCTCCAGCTCCAGTTTCAAGTTTCCATAGTATAGTCTTACGTTCTGCATCCTTCTGTACATTGTTGAAGTCCGCGCGAGGGGTGCCCTGGTTACCACCACCTGGGGGTGGGGTCTCAGAATTTCTGGGGGTCCTGGGACGCATTCGCACACATGAGATTCGCGCCCCCGACGCCAGAATCCCTCGCGTGTTACGCTGCTGTCGCGCCCCCGAGGACAGACTCCGTCGTAAATGAAGCCTTGCCCGCGTCCCCGAGGCCGTAAACCCTCGTAATCTACGCCGGGTTCGCGCTCCCGAGATCACATGTTCGTAGTAAGCTACACTATTCGCAACTGCGAGGCAATACTCTCTCTCTCTCTCTCTCGCAAGTTGCGCAACACTTGCGTCCCCGAGGCAACGATCCTTCGTACATCACGCGTTAGTCGCGTCCCCGAGGTTACAAACTCTCGTAAAGTACGCAGTATACGCGCTCTCGAGGCCACTCTCCTTCATTAAAGGCCCACATGGCAATACAGGAGGCCTCCGAGACGGCCCAAGAGTGCTCCAAGGCGCCCAACATAGTTCCAAGACAGCCCAGGAGGCTCCCAGGAGGCTCCCAAGAGTGCTCTAAGAGCATCCCCAAGAGGGGCCCAAGGGGCCAACATCTTCGATGCTCCTGAGGTTTTTAATGGTTTCTGGCACGCTCATATCTCCACTGGCCCCCGTTCAGAGTTCCGACGCTGCTTCACGACGGCGCCCAGGCCTCACAACATAGCTCTTGCATTTCCCATTCTCGGAGAGAGGGGTCCGGCGGCAGGGGGGCGAAGCCCCTACGGATAATCCATCAGATGCTCTGCCACAAGGTCTTGCTTGTACGAATCCGAGGATTACAATTCTGCAGTGGCAATGTGCCCCGCCGATCCCTTGGCATCACTGGGTGCGTGGGCTTCCCTTCGACATGCCCCAACACGCCTGAGTTGTCGATTGTTCGGGGCGGCAACAGCTCCCCCATCCGCCCATTCAGGTCTCGTGCGGGCGCAGCATTGCAGCATTCCGTCCTACCACTGCCCTCCAAGGCGCTGCAAGATTCATGGTAACCAATCGACACGGCCACAACGATGCCCCAAAGAGGCTCGGAGACTGCCCGAGGGAGTCTCAGAACGGCGCAGCGGGGCCGTCAGGATCAAAAGACAGCTACTTCCGAGCAGTGAGAGCTGGCACGCCTCCTCCTCCTCCTCCTCCTCCTCCTCCTCTGGTCAGCACAGCCCTAAGAAACGCTCGGGCACTCCCAAGACGCCCATCCGGAGGAGCCCAGGGAACACCTAGGAAGACATCACCAAGCCCCCACGCGGCTCTCACTGTGACAGACTCTGGTCCGGCACCAGATATGATCCAGCGAATCGTAGCGTCATGGGCCACCGTGGGCACACGCCCACGCACCGACATGCGTGCTCGCGCGTCCACTCGCGCACATACCAGCAGAGCATGCTCATAATCGTGGGTCACCCAGCGGGGGGTGTCACTCACCAGGCCACCTGACTTCACGCATCGCGCCCCGCGATGCGCGGTGATCTTCGGAGAGAAAGGCAGCTCTCTGACCGAGGCCGCGACGCGCAAAGCGCAGTCATCTTGGCGCCACTCGGGGTGACCTACAGAGGAGGCCGGTCCACAAGAAACCCACAAGAAACCCAACCCTGAGACCCCAGGGCCTCCACTGATTTTTGGCGTGGGAGCGCCACGCTTTCCCCAACAAAACCATCGAAACCGAAGAAACCCGGGGCACCCTGGAGGCAAGCAGGGTGCTCCCTGGCATTGGTCTCCACTGCAGACAACTTGCCCGCAGCCGAGGGCCACCACCAGCGGGGAAGTCACTCTAGGGGAACGAAGAATGGCATTGGCGGCGCCTCTGGCGCCGCCGCTGGCGCACTCCGCGCGCCAGGGAAGGGGGTCCAGCGCCGAGCCGAGAAATCCGCGCGGACCTCCGAGTTGTTACATTCATGTCATTGTTTGTTTCCCTAGTTTCCTTCGTCGTACTGGACCCATCCTCCTTCTCAACTTGACTCCCCCTCCTCATCCGTCTCCCCTCCTCCTCCTCCTCTTCCGCCTCCTCTCCCGCCTCTTCCTCCTCCTCCTCTTCCGTTCCCCTACGCTCGCCCCGCCTGCTTCGACAATCCGCCGAGGAGAGCGCACGCGGAGCGAGAGTCATCGGGGCGGGCGCCCAAGGAAGAAGCGGCGGCCGTGGGGCGCTCGCGCGGAGGGGGGGGGGCGGCGTGCCGCGCTGCAGCACGCACTTGCCCTCGTTCTGCACGCCGAGGCCCTCTCGCCGCGGCCAATCCAACCAGCCTCGAACTGATCCTTGTCCCTAAGATTCAAGGGGCCCAGGGACACACAAATAAATACATAAAATAAAAGGATTCCCCATTTTTCCTATTATCTTATATTTTTGGGGTTTTCGTCTTCCCCCCCACTTCCCATATTTTCCCATATTTTCTGGGAATCGACGATTAATTGTGCCTGCGTGATTTTCCCCTCCGGAAACATGGGCGAGCAAGAAGCGAGGACAGTCTCGGGGACGTGCCCTCAAAGCCGAGGGGGTCCTGAAGATCGGCACCGAGGTGAGGTGATGCCAAACTCAAGGGTGGGGATATGTCTCAAACTGGTGGCACCGAGGTGAGGTGATGCCAAACACAAGGGTAGGGGTATGTGTCAAACTGGTAACAATGTTCTCTCTCTCTCTCTCTCTCTTCTTTTTGTTCCCTCTTCGGGGATCTTCTGACCCGGGTCAATCCAGACCCGGATCAATCGGGCCTTCCAAAATACTGCGAGATCCTGAACCCAAACCCGGGTCAATGCGGACCATCCTGCAAAATCCTGCAAAATCCTGCAGGATCATGCATCCAAACCCGGGTCAATGCGTCCCTGGCCCTGCAAGATCCGGCGCTCTGGCTGACCCTCGTTTGCATTGACCCCCGTCTCAAGGCTCCCGATCTCTCTCCCTCCCTCCCTCTCACCGGCAGACCGAGGTAGCAGGAGACAGATCCAGATGGGCGTCGAATCCTCGGGGGCCCTCGCGGAGCTCTTGCCCTGGCGCTGTGCCCCCCTCTCTGGCGCGCGGAGCGCGGCAGGGGCGGCAGCGGAGGGGCGGGGGGGCCCGCGCCGCTCCGATCTGATCCGCGCGGGCCGCCGAATTCTTTGTGTCATGTAACATGCGTCGTGCGAGTACGCTTCCCCTTCGACTCTGCCCCCCCCCCAACAAAAACACAGCCCCGCCGTCGGCGGTGAGACCGCACAGTTGGCGAGGGCGCTGCCACTCCTGTCGCCACTGCGATCGCTGGTGCCTCCCGACTCAAGGTCATCATCGGTATCGGTGGTAGCGTAGACAACGGCACCGTCAGCTTACTGCTTGCCGTCAGAAGGCTCGACGTTGTTGTCGCCATCATAAACACCTATACTTGACGGTGTCGTCGACATCTTTATAGAAAGTGCTGCCTGCCTTCCAAGGTGTTCCACTGTGGCTGCTCCACTCTTCAAAGCCAAACCTCACTCCCTCCAAGCAACGATATTCCAATCAAATCAAGTATGAGGTGCGTATGCGCTCGTGATCCTTTTTAAAATATAAAAAAACACAAAAAACAACAACAAAAAAAAAAAAAAAAAAAAAACTAATTCCACTCCATTACCTGGATACAACCGTCCATAGCGCCCTCGTCAGACTTGCGAGTGGTATTCGAAATGATGGGTTCGAACTAAATCGAGGGGGCTAGACAAATTCTGATGGATGCGGGGCTTGCTGCACCAACATATTGCTATACTTTACGCGTCCGCGCCAGTGTCCGACTCGACTCGACTCCGCATCCTCCTGCTCACTCCTCCCCCTCCTCCCCCGCCTCGTCAGCCTGCTGCCTCTGGTGTCGGTTCGGGAGCACATGTGCTCAAAGCGAGCCACGACGCGAAACCGTCTGCGCCCTTCGACCTGGCGAGACCGATTGGAGCCTCATCCCCTCCAATCACGCGCGCGCGCGCCATGGCCACCAAAAGCCCCCCCCCGCCGTGAGCGTTCCAATCCGCCACAGCCCAAGCCACTAGAAGAGGGCCGCCAGAGGGTAAATTTCGGGATGGCAGCCTCTCCCCAAAGGAAGCCTGCGTCGCCACACTTCAGAGCAGCGGTGGCGTCGACTGAGCAAACGCTGCACACAACGAACTCGCTCACAAACACCAAACATGACCCGACACCGTCTACCAACAACATCGCTCCGACCAGCATAACTCAGGGGCGAACTTGTGAAACTGTGCGGGAACAATCAAGATAAACCATGATGTGCTGTGTTGCTCCCTGACGCACAAGACGGGGTCCAGCAATGACCCACCAGGGTCTACGGCCTCAGCCGACGTCCACCAGGGACACGGCTCCGCCCCACTCATCTGCGTGGATGCACCAAACTGGGATGTCCCCATCGCTCTCGCCCCCAGCAGGGCCGACGACGGCCCTCGCACGCCATCAGCACCTCACTTGCGAACGACCAGCTACCGCCGTCGGAACAGGGCTTGGCGCGACGGGGACCCAGCGAACCGACCGTGGGCAGTCCTTCACGAGGCACCTCTCAGCGGCTAGTCGGCAGCCAGAGGAAGACCGCAGAACGGTCTTCCTCGCTAGCATCACCGCGCTGCATCAGCGGGCCAGGACCTTGCCCAATATGTCCAGCACATCCAGGAACAGTCAGCTCCTCTGCTTGACAATTTCTACCGAAACGAGGCGTCTGGGAAGGTCTCCAACAGACCTTCCGACCTGCCGCTTCCCTTTGGGCGTCCCTCCAGGACAGCCTCCACGCTCCCCTTGCTGCGCAACGCGCGGTACACAAGTGCCAGCGTCCCCCCCCCAGTGGGCTCCGCGAACAGCTGGCTCCTGTTCCGTTGCCCTCTTATTGGGCCGCTACGGGGGATGCCCCAAGGTGGCGCCGCCTCTGACTGGGCGCCGCATCGCGCATGCCAAAGCGTGTACAAGGCGGGCGTCTCTCTGCCCGCGGGCGTGCAGCAGGGGCGAGTCTCGCCCTTCTCGCCAATTCCCGCTGTTGCTTTCCAGCCGGTATTTTCCTGGACCGCGCCAAGGAGGAGGAGGAGGAGTAGGACGAAGAGGAGGAGGAGGAGAAGGAGGAGGAGGAGGAGGAGGAGGAGGAGAGCGATGAGGATGAGGAGGACGAAGAGGAGGAGGAGGAGGAGGAGGAAGAGGAGGGTGATTTCCCCACTCCTGCCCCCCTGCAGCACCTCCCGCCACGACTAAGGTGGGCGTGGCGGGCGCTGGCCGCCCTCGCCCTCTGACGGACATCCCGCCCGAACTGCTGCGCCCTCCTGCTGCCTCTCCTCCTCCCTTCACGGTCGGGGCATGCTTGGCCACACGGCCGATCTCCTCCCGCGAGCCACGGACTTCCTCTGCCCGGCGGCTGACGTGCCCCCTGCCTGCTGCGTGCGGCTGCAGTGCCCCAATTGGGGATGTCTTGGGCCCTCTGGCCCGCAGGGTGCTTTTGAACATGTGGCCCGTGGTCCTCTGCTGGGATCCAACTCTCGATGGGCTGCTGTGGCTACGCGAGGCATCCAGAACTGCAGCATGAGAAAGAACGCACGCATCAATTTACCCGTTTAGCACGCGCCGGCTGTGGTCCAACCGAGCAACTCAGGCGTGGACCCCCCGTCGCAACATCCAGCAAACACCATCCATTGTCGCATGGGCATTTCCGGCCATCTCCCTCCCCATCCTTTACCTCGTCCGTATCTCCCCTTCTACACCGTCCCGGTCCGCCGCCTCTCTTCTCGTCTCCGTCCTCTCCCCTTTCTTCATCCCATGCCGCCTGTCGCAGGATCGTCACATACTTGTTGGTACGCTCTACGTCTCCGCGGACTTCAGAGATATCCATGCTCAGACGCTGGGTCTGGGCAGAGTGAGAAAGGCGGGTGCTGCCAGCTTGCAACCATAATGGAAGTACAGATGGACAAACGATCGCCAACTCAAAAACACACGATGTCTTCCCGTCTCAGTCTAGCCATGAACCCAGATGGCGGCACTGGAGAACTCCTGGTAGAGCAGTGCTTGCATGGGGATCTTCGCTTGTTCTGAAAATGGAAAGAATTGATTTGGTGGGTTTGAGCTTCTACAGGCAGTCCGATACCCCTGCAGGCCAGACCTCCGAAGCACCAGCGGGGGGGCTCAGAATGTGAAAGATGTCTGCAGCCAAGTGAACCGCTAGCGGGTACCCGATACCCCAGCGTCGACTGAACACGCAGGGGAAAGGTTCGCACGTGATCACGCGGTCGCAGATTCAAGTCGTCAACATGCAAAGAAACCACAGAAGACATACGCGCCCAACCGCGTACATCATACGGCCTCCCAGTCCGCGAGACCAGCCTCGTGATGCGAGCGGTCGCGCAACGCTTACTTTCGAAACCAACGCGGATTCACGTACATACGTCCTCCTCTCGCTCCTGCCAGGAGGAGGAGGAGGAGGAGGAGGAGGAGGAGGAAGGGGAGGAGGAGGAGGAGGAGGAGGAGGAGGAGGAGGAGGAGGAGGAGGAGGAGGAGGAGGAGGGAGGAGGAGGAGGAGGAGGAGGAGGAGGAGAGGAGGAGGAGGAGGAGGAGGAGGAGGCCCGAGGTCCCGCCCAACGCGTCCAGCCCTTGCCATGCCTGCCCTGTGGGGTCGGGCTTGGCCCACGCCGCCAACGCCTGTGGCGTCCCGCGCGCCCGGCGTGGCCTTCGTAGCCCGTGGTCGCTCCGACTGCGGCAGGGCCCCACCTCGGGCAGCCCCGGGGGTCGAATTTGCCCGTCGTCAGTGAGGGGGATCCCGCCCTGTGGGTCCCGCTTGCTCGCCCAAGGTAGAGAAAAAAGAACTATGCACATACACCGATTCTGGCCAGGCCCATCCTGAGCCCAGGATCGGTGCATACGCCCTCCTACCTTGGCCAGGAAGGCATATGCACCGATCCTGGGTCAAGGATGGGCCTTGCCAGGATCGGTGCATGTGCATAGTTCTCTTCGCCCGACAAGGGTTCTGATGCATCCTCGGGGGGCCGTGCAGGGGAACCCAGAACCGAATCGGCAAGTCGGATCGGCGATGGACACGAATCGAATCGGCGGAAGTCGGCAGCCGGGTCGGGAAACATCGAATCGGCGAAGAGCGGCAGGCCAGCAGGCCTCACCGCGCCCCGACATGCCCCGTGGGTCGCCGATGGGGTGCCACTCACATTGGCGGCGAGCGATGGGTCCTCCTCCTCCTCCTCCTCCTCCTCCTCCTCATCCAAAGGTCGGGAGGAACGAAGGGGAGAAGTCCTGATGTGCTGGGGGGGGACGGTTTTGGACGGTTTCTGCGAGAGGGGGAAGATCGGATGACATTTGACTGGATCGGCGGCGAGCGATGGGGGGAAGTGAGAAGGAGGAGGCCTGCTCGGAAGGCGGCGGGGCTTCTCAGAAGGCCTCCAGCCTTCTGATAATGCTTTTCTGTCTTCGGGGAAAGCTTAGAGGACTTCTCAGGAGCATGGGGGACTTCCGAGCCTTGTGAGAAGGCCCGCCCCTTCTCACTTCCTCCCCTCGCCCGCCGCCGATCACAGGGTCTCGCCCCTGCTTGACCTGGGGATCGGCACTCTCAGTTGTCACAGCGACCAGGGTTGGCCATTGGCGCCCATAGGGTCCCACGATGACGTCCCGCCCTTACCTGTCCTTTGGGTCGTGGCGGTCCTCGCCGATACGGTCCCACCCATGACGTCCCGCTCTTGTCTGTCCTGCGGATCGGGGTTTGCGGCGGTCGTCGTCCATCGGGTCCTGGGTCGGGACTGGCGGTCGTGGACCAAAAGGTCCTGCCCGTCACGACCAGGCGTGCTGACATCCCCAGTGAGCGGGGTTGGCCATCAACGCCGGCAGAGCGTTCCAAACTGGGTTGCCCTGGTCATCTGTTTGGGGCCAACCCGCTCGAACCATGGCAGAGACTTGGGGCCAACCGAGAAGGAAGGCACTGCAATTGCAATCCCACCAATCTGGTATACGAGGCGCGCGCGCGCGAAACACGATGCGAAAGATCCTGCACGATCAAGAATGAATTTCGAAACGCTCGCCCTACATGTTCTGCGATACCATGCTTTTCAGTGGCATGGCGCATGGCTCTTCCAACTCGCACCTCACTAGAGGCCTCCCAGATGGGGTCCGAGTAGATGGGGTCGGAGGATTGCGGCGACGTCGGCGCTGCATCGGCGACGTCGGCGTGGGAAATCACGGGCTCCGCACAGAGCCGCATCGCCGATGCATCGGCGATGCGGCGCGATCCTCCGACCCCACCTACTCCGCCCCCATCTACAAGCCTCGTCAAAAATATCCAGCAATGGAAATTGAAATCCTGGAGCACAATGCTCTCGAGCACTTGTCAGAAAGCGCGTTCTTCAGTGCTGAAGGGGCGGGGTCGGTTTTTGGACAACACCGCGTCCGAATCAACAGGCAATCCGTCAGCATTGGAGTAGCGCTGACCCCACAATCACCGAATTCAGAAGCCTTCTGTTTATTTTTGACGAGGCTTGTAGGAGGCCTAGACCCACTACGAGCAAAGAATGAGGGGAGCATTGAAGCCGACTCCGGCCGACCACGCGCTGGGCGTGGTCCACCTGGCGCCCCCTCCGTTCACCCGCCTGCTCCGTACCCGCCTGCCACCCGCATGCCACACGGGGCCTGATGACCTGCGTTTGGGTCGGGCATGTCCCCCTACCGGCGGATTCTCGACGAAACAAGAGAATACCCCACTAATGTTCAAAAATTGCCAGAACAAAAAATCGAGAAGTCGTCCCCAGAATATTTTTGACTAGTTTTGAAGATTCCTCCTGTAGAGGGACACGCCCGACTGAAGCCTGGGTCGCTCGTGGCTAGTTCTGTCACCGCTGCGCATCCTTGCCGTCACCACGGCGCTACTGCGCTCGCCCTTGTGCGGGCCTCTTTCGCTTCTACGCGCTCTCTTCGTGCATATCCTTCCTTCCCACGTTACGATTCGTCTGCACCGAGGTGATCCGAGCTCGAGCACGATAGTGCCCTTGCCATCGCTCGGGCGTCCATTCCCTTCCTGCGCTCAAGATGCTGCTCCTAGACTGTCCAGATTTTCGGCCGCCGGCCTCGCCGAGAAAAAATCACGAGCCCGAGCGAGGCCCAGTGTCTGTGCGTTCTGGGACCCTCTCCGCCAGATCGCTGTGGCAAGACGCGACGGCGCTCGCCCGCCCACGCCGTGGTGGCCAAAGGTAGGCATCGTACAGGCGCGGCTGCAGGCAGGAACACACGACGCAGACAGAAGCCCCCCTCCCGGCCACGCACGCCGCTCGCCCGCGCGAGGCGCCCCCTCCCCAGGCCCTCCCCGCACACACGCTCCGCCCTCTCTCGGAACGGCGTTCCGTCAGCAGGCCAACGAGGCTGCACCAATCGTGCTGCCGGGAGGAGCACCAAACCAGGAACGAAGGGCCTCTTCTGGCCACGGCGGGCCTTGGCCACGAACGGAATGCAAGACCCAGAGCAACTGAGGCTGCAGCAAGAGGCTGCAGGCCCACGAGGCTGCAGCAGTCGTGCTGCCATGAAGATCACCAGATAAGGAACGACGGGGCTCTTCTGGCCACGGCGAGCCTCGGCCACGAACAGAATGCAAAAAGGACCGTTCCGAAAGCCAGAGCCCCTCGCGAGCTCACCCAAAGCGGTCCTTGTTCCAGCGCCTCGGCTGTAGGCCCCGGCCCTCCCCTCAGACCGCAGCATCTGTCTGGTGAAGATGGTCCATCACTGGGCGCATCATGATCACCTCATGCACAGGGCACGGCACTGCAGAGTCAGGCTGAATGAGTGCTGCTTGCATGGAAGCAGACAGATGCTCCGAGGGATGGACGTACGAGATAATAGACAGGTGGGGGATGCACGAGGAAGATAAAACAAATACGCAAAGCCTGAAAGTGGGGTACCAAAAAAGAAACACTTCAGCTGAAAGAGTACAGAGAATGTCCGTGCAGACGGCAAACCGATTGAGTGAGTCATATCAGAAAGCGGTCGGAAGGACAGTGGAACTCGCTGTAGCAGGCGCAGGGCAAGGTGGGGGAACAAACATTATGTATGTTTATATACCATATATCCTTATATCTAGAGATAGAGAGAGAGATAGAGAGAGAGAGAGCGAAACAAGTAACGAAAGAGAGCGGACACCATCCAGGAAGAGACATAATCTACATGGCAGGATGACTTGGTTGACAAGCGACAGAGCGCAAGGCAACACAACGATGACAAAGGGTGGCGCGGTACGGGCACGATGAGAAGCGTTGCGGTCACAGAAATGGTGAAATTATTATTGCAACCGTATGGCAGTGTATCGCCTACACTGGAACACAAGTCAAGGCGAGGGTGGAGATGAAGAAATCTAGGCGGGAACAGTGTGCATATGCAAATCTGTGACTGAGAGCACGGGGCAACGAAGCCAGGCAGGAAGAGACAGCAAAGCGCAAGCCGATGAAGCTCGTGAGAGGCCCGAAGAAGCACCATCTGCTGCATGATGAAGTCGCTGATCCACGCCAGATCGCGCGCTTGGAGGTCCTGGAAGCCATCTAAAATATAACAAAGACCTCAGATGGACTCACACACACACACACAATGTCTGATCCGAATATCCGTCACCACAAACGCAGTGCGTGGACATAGATGTGGATTTTGACATCCACTTTTGCCGTGTAGAAGCAGGCGCCGCTACCCTAAAGGCTGAACGAACAGTGAGAGGCGGCGAAACCAGAGAACTATGGGCAAGATGGCTGTGAAGCACAGCAAGACGTCCTAGGAAAGAACTCGCCTCACCCTGTCGCAAACTGGTAAACTACACACAAAAACAGTCCTCGAGGGGGGCCATGCCTGCGCTCCGATCACGTGCTTCCGGAAGCTCAGGGGCAAACTCCCTGACCCTCCATTCGGGCAGGGCGCTCGCAAAGAACAAATTGTCTCCCTTGTGTGAGGGCGAGAGGCCTGAGTCCGCTACTCCGCTGGGTACTGCACCCAAGTGAAAAAGGAGCCGGGCCATTCGAAGCAAAGAAGGAGGACTGATCGGCATCAAGCTTCAGAAACGCGATGTAGGTGTCCTGATCACCCTTCATGGCTTGCTCCTGCTTGCATTAGCAAAGATGCCCTTCCGTTCCCGTACAAGGCCTGGAATCAATTGTCTCTGTTGTCGCGTGTTGTTCTCGCGAACACACATGTGCTAAGCTTACGCTATCGTAGCTCTCATGGATCCTAATGCCATCAAGCTCGGTAGCTGCTTGTCGCTTGCTTACCTGGGTTCCCACAACGTACTATTCGGAAGACACGAACCATGGTATGTAAGGTCGGTCGCTTCCATAGCATACATTTGCCTCCCAGGTGGATCCCTTCCGAGCCAACTCGTGCCCCGCTTCCACTCTTGCTCCCCCCCATCCCCCTCTACCCCACCTCCCTCCACTGCACGCTACTTAGCCATCTCATCATCCGATCCCCCTTCCCCCCCCCCCTGAGTGCTCCTACTCCAACTCCCGCCTCCTTCTCTCTGTCTCTCATGCTGCTCTTCCTGCTTTTCATCCGACTCCTCTCCATGACCCGCCCTCCTTTCCCGACGTTTTTCCCATCCTCCTCAGTGTCATTCCCTTCATCTCGTCAATATCCTGCCGCCTCCTCGTCCTTTTGTACCCTCCCTTTCATGCTTTGTCCTCAACAATACTCTCCTAGAGCAAATCGTTGATCTCCTCCTCCGCATCCTTCTCATCATCCCCCTCCTATGTTCGCCATCGCCACTGAAGATCGAATGCCCTGAGATTCTTGATGCTCAAACTGTAGTCCGTGTTTTGTATGTTCCAAACTGCTTTGTCGTGCTGTGGGGCGCACGCTTATTTCAGAAACTGATGTCCTAAGCCCTTAACCGTGCCGTCTGGGATGTTGACCTCTGCGGACGGGCACGCCTAGGATCCCTGGGACTTCCTCTGACAAGGTTACCGACCATCGGGCTTTCATCGATGTGGTGTTTGACCTGTGCCGCGCTGGGTGTTGTTTCGCTGCTGTAGGCGACGCGGTACATATGCAAGGTGTGATGTGTGGCCCCGTTCTCCCATACGACCCGCAGGCAACGCACGACAGTGAGTCTGCAATCACCTGTCCACCGTGGAGCTCAACGGGCCATTTGATTTCTACATGTACGGCTGCCGGCTGGTCAAGGATCATGTCTGTTTGCCGCGAGAGGAGCAGCTATCGCTACAGTGGGCGTCCTGTCTTGGTTGCATGTGTTGAAAGAAAATAAGAGCCATTCATGGGGTCGAAGCTAATCAACCGCTCGACGAGTGGCCTTCCGATGAGGACAGAAAGTGCAGGTTTGGGAACCACTGGGCGAAGGGCACCAGGGGCACCCGCAGCCTTCGGAGGAACCTGCGTGTAGGCTCGGCGGGGACCTGGAACTAAGCTGTGCAAGGCTGTGGCACGCTTGGCTGCCAAGCTCACGCCGCGTCGGTTTCGTCGGGACCTTCAGGGAGTCCCATGTGTTAAGCCCGGCCTTGAGCCCGTAGTCCCAATGCAGCTGGCAACCGATCCAGCCGAAGCCGTGGAAGCCAAGTTGCAGGGCCAACCGATCCTCCACTCTCTGGGGGAGCACACACAGCATCAATGCCACGCCGCCGTGGAGAACCATCAACGTCCCGCAGCTCGGACAACAACGAGGGAACAACGCGACGACGGGTTCCCACAAGCAGCGTCATTGCTACTCGGTTTCCCTCCCGACTCACGGGCCTCCTTCTCCTGGCCGCTGCAGGACCTTATCAGGATGGACCGCAAGCGCTCTTGAGAACAGAGCTCACAAATGCATTGCGCTTGACTGGCCATGCCATGCCAAGCCGTGTACGAAAAAGATTGGTCCTCACAAGAAGGATTAGTTGTTCAGATTGCTGAGGGTAAGTGGCCCAGGCTTCTCCGCAGGGTTGAGCAGCAGTTCCTCTCGTAGTTCGAGCGTCGACCACCACGTGGGATAGCTCGCAACTCATCCTCCTCCTTTTCCGCCTCCTCCTCCTCCTCGCCCTCCTCGTCTAGGCATTTCGCCTGAGACTTCCTCCCCATTGATGACCCTGATGCCAAAACATTGACAACAATTTCACAGATGGAGGGCGGGTGGTTTCAAAATGTGGTTCTCGCCTAAGCGCCGCGCACATTCGCTGAAAAGGCTGAACAAGTTTCGTGGACTGAGGGCGGGTGTTTTTCAAAATGTGGCTCTCGCCTCAGCGCCGCGCACAGTTTCAAACATGTGCAAGAGTTTCACATACTGAGGGCGGCTACTTTTCAAACTGTGGCTCTCACCATAGCGCCGCGCACATTCCTTTGTAACATGTGCTAGAGTTTCACGGATTCCCATGATCAGGGTACCAGACATGATGCTTTGGAAGGATTCAGGATTATGAGGGCGCAACAGTTACGTTGACTCGCGGTTTTGAAGTCCCAAGAATGGCGTCCTGGCACGATTCAAGATCGTCAAGACGCAACAGTCAGGTTGATATGTTGCGTTGGAATCCAAACAACAATGTTTTGGCATTCAGGGTCTTCAAACGGCCATCCTCGTCCCCCTTCCGCCTCCTCGTCCTCCTCCTCCTCCTCCTCCTCCTGCTCCTCCTCCTCCTCCTCCTCCTCCCCCTCTGCCTCCTCCCCCCTTCCGTGCCCCTCCTGGGGACACCGAAAGGCACTGATACCGCTACGCCTGGGACCTCTCCCGGGGTGCGTTCTGCCTCGAATCTTGAGGCGAATCCAGCGGTGGCGGCGAGGGCCTCCCAGGAGGCCCAAACAGGGGACAAGCAGGGAAGGGTAGCGGTGGGGGTACATGTTCCTCCTCCGACCTCCGCCCCACTCCTCCCCTTCTGTCGGGCGTGTCCCCCTACAGGCGGATTATACAGGAAAGTGTAACAAATAGTTACAGCACATCCCAGAAAATGCCCACCAATAGTTTAAAGATGGCCTCCAGGCTTTTTGTCTGGCTATCTTTGACTCTTCCCCCTGTAGAGGGACAGGCCCGACTTTCGGGGGCGGCCAAGAGGGGGGTGCCCAAGAGGGGGGGGAGCGCAAATCATGGCCGGCGGCATGTGCGCGGCCCAAGGGGGGGGGGGCCAGGCACGCAATGAATTAAGAAGAGGCGCCATGAAATCTGCGGAAAAATCATGGCGCCCGCCATGATATCCCCCCCGCCTCATCAGTCATCACCCCCCTCTTTGCCGCCCCCGAGACTGGCGCAATCCTGCCCCTCCGCCGTCGCCCCCGGAGCCCGCCCTCAAACGGGCGTCGCCCGGGCCATCCGGGGGCCCCTCGCGGGCCGAGCCCCCGGCCCCCGCCGCCTGTGCGGCCGCTCGGGCCGGGAGGCTCGCGGCCAGCGCGCACGGCCGCGACGGCGGCGCGCCGCCGCTGCTCCTCCCGCTCCTGGTCTGGGGAGGGGAGGGAAGGAGAGGAGCAGCGGCTGAGTCATCGAGGGTTACGCTTCCAGCCTCGTGCTCGGCCTTCTCATTCGGTCCCTCCTCCTCCTCCTCCTCCTCCTCCTCCTCCGCCTCCTCCTCCTCCTCCTCCTCCCCCTCCTCCTCCTCCTCCTCCTCCTCCTCCTCCTTGTCCTCCCCCTCTTCCTCCTTCCCCCTCCTCCTCCTCCCCCTCCTCCTACTCCTCATCTCCTTCCCGGTCTCCTCGTCGGCCTGGCAGCGGCAATCCTGTTCCCCAAAGACTCTCGGGGAGGATGATGGCTTCTGCCGTGTTGGGGCCTCCGTGGAGGCTTCTGTGCGGCGGCCATCTTGGGCGTCGAGGCTCATTTGGAGGGCCTTGGGACCCCTGGGGCCCCTGGAGCGCACTTCCGGGGTCCAGGCTCACTGAGTGAAGGCCGTCTTGGGGCCTTCTGGACCATCTTTGGCCCCTCCTGGGCCGTCGTGGCGGCCTCTTTAGAGGTCAAAAAATCCACCCCGATAATAACCACCCCGACACGCGAGGTCGTTTAGTAAACGCACCCAAAGAAAGAATCGAGCAGGGCAGGGCTGTTTAGTAAGCGCCCAGGGCCGTTTAATAAACGCCAATTGTCCGGTCCGGGTGGTTTTTCCTCCCTTGACTTCTGGGGTGTTGCCGCTTGGGCCGTCTTTCGGCGATCTGGGAAGCTTCTTGGGCATTCTCGGAGCGTCGGGCAGCAGAGCGAGGGCAAGTTGTCAAACTCATGTAGACAAACAAATATTTCCACCTTGCGGGTCCCTGTAGCTGATATTTGGAAGCCATTTTGGAGCGTCTGGGCTGGGTGGGCCAGTTGGAAGGAAGCGTCACCGTCTTCAGGGCGTCTAGGAGCCGTCTTGGCCAGCCTTCACGCCCTGATGGCGAGTCCAGGCTCAGTCGCGCGGCCGGTTTGGGGCCTCTTGGGCCATCTTGGGCGCCTTGGGGCTGTCTTGGGGTATGGTGGGGCGCTCTTGGACGTCTCTTGGGCCGCCGCGGAGCATGCCGAAGCGCAAATGGCGACAACGGGACACGCCAGACTTAACTGTACTGTCAACTGAACGGGGAATCGTGCACGTGGTACGGGAATACCGACAGCAGCAACAACGGACCAGAAAAACCCAAAGAGCGCGAGGCAAGACTGCGCCCGCGGGTGCTGTGCCTCGCAAGATCTGCACACCCTCTCGCCAGGACTGGGATCCATCCCCCCCTCTCAATAATTTCCCAACTCCTCCGAAAAACAGCGCACAACCCACCCAATTCTGGCGAGAACCCCCTCCCCTCTCCCACCCTCCCCCTCTCCTCTCGAAAGTCGGGGAGAGAAAGATCCCCACCTCCCCCCATTGCGCACCGGCAACCAACGACGACGAACACAATGATGACCACGACGAGGACGACGACGACGAGGACGAGGACGAAGACGACGCGGACGACGACGATGACGACGACGACACTGACGACGACGCTGTCGACGACGACAACGCCGTCGCTGGTGACGCTGGCAACGAAGACCATGACGACGACAACGACGGAAGACGGACAACGATGATGACAACGACAATGACGGTGACGATGACGATGACGACAACGACGACGACAACGACGACGACAACGACGACGACGACAACGACAAAGACGACGCTGACGCTGGCGACGAAGACGAACACGACACGTCTACGACGACGACGACGTCGACGTCCGACGACCAAGATGACGACCGACGATCACGATGACGACGCCGCCGCGGGCGGGACGTCGAAGGCGGCGGAACCGAACGGGCGGATCGGGCGGGCGAGACTGAAGGGGCCCTGGGACACACAAGTAAATAACACAAATCACAGGATTCCCCTATTTTTTTCATATGTTCTGGGTTTTTGTCTTCCCCCCACTTCCCATATTTTTCCTGTATCTTTTCTGGGGAATCTGCAATTCATTGTGTCTGTGTGTTTTTATCCCCTCCTGAGAATTACAGCGGTGGCTGGCGGGCTCCCAACTTCGCGCTTCGCGCTGCGCGAAGCGCGAAGTGCGAATAACTTCGCGCTCTCGCGCCGCCTCCCAGGGGAGAAGAGGAGGGTGAGGAGGAGGAGTCGGAGCCGAACCGCGAAGCGCGACGCGCGAACAACTTCCCGCCCTCGAGGGCCGCCCGCTGGCGCCCTCGAGGGCGCCAGCGGGCTGTCGAGCACGCAGAGCGGGCGGGTCCCTCACGGGGCTGAGCGGGCGGGCGGGACTCCACAGTGGGCGGGTCGCGGGCGGGCGGGGCCTGCACGCGTGGGTCCGGGTCGGGCGGGCGGGCTCTCTTCCAGCCTTTTTTGAGCGGGAGGGGCTCCGGCGGGCGGATCCGCCGGCCGGGCGACTGCTGAAGGGGCCCCGGGACACCCACATCAGCACACACAAATGACAGGATTCCCCATGTTGTTCATATTTTCTGGGTTTTTGCTTTCTCCCCCCCCCACTTCCCATATTTTCCAGATGTTCAAGCCTTTGAGCGGGCGGGGCTCTGACGGGCGGATCGGGCGGGCGAGACTATCAAGCGGGCAGACTGGCGTTCCAGCACGCAGTCGGGCGGGACCCTGCGGGCGGGACGTCAGAGCGGGCGAGCGGGCTCCAGAGCATGCGAACGGCGAGGGCCCTGGTCGACAGAGGGTCGGGCGGGCGCGGCCCTGGCGAGCGGGTCGGGCGGGCGGGCCCCCGACGGCCGGGTCCAGCGGGCGGGACTTTCAAGCGGGCTTGCGGGAAAATGAATATGACCCCCTCTTTGAAGAAACGAGGTTCGTCGGCTTCGGAAGGTTCGTCGTCGTCGTCGTCGGTGTCGTCGCCGCTTGCCCGTGCACGGGGGGGGAGGGGGGTTCGACCTCTCCGCCGACTTTCGAGGGGGGGGATGGGGAGAGGGGTTCGACCACCCCCACCCCACTTTGAGGAAGGGGGAGGTTAGACAGCGTCGGGGACCTTCAGCGGGAAGCCATGTAGGAGGCGCTCCTGCGGGAGTTGGCTCGAGCGGGTGTGCATCATTTCTTCATGCAGAGACGCTTCCTCGTGCGACAACTGCTGGGGTGCGGCGGCCAGGCGATCCAGAGAACCACGATGTGGGCGGCAGCACACGCAGCCACAGCTACTTCTCGCTCCCCCGCACGTCGAGAGCGCAGAGCCTCGCTGTGAGTATGCTCCACGCTGGCGCGCCCGAGAACTCGTCTCCCTTCGGGAGCGGAAATCAGAAAGGAGAGAGAGAGGGGGATAGAGAGAGGAAGAGGGAGAAGGAGCGGGCGCTCGCGAGACTCTCGTCACGGGATGCGCAGACAGCACGAGCACCACACACAACCCAGACGTGCACTCCACTGAACTCAAGTCGCTCGTTCGAGGTGTGGCGGGTTCGTCGAGCTCGTCCAGAGGGGCCCAAAGCCTGCTCACAAACAGCGCAGGTGGACCGAGAAGGCACGAGGCGCCGCCGGGACGGCGCAAGACGACCCAAGATGTCCCAAAAGGCCCCGACAGGCACACGAGATACCCAAGAGGGATGCCTGGAGACGCCCCGAGCCGCTCCCGGGAGAGTCTCCGAAGGGCCCAAGACGGCCCCAGAGGAAGGCTGCAGAGGTGGCCCGAAATGGCCTCTCCAGATTGCGCCAGGACGGCCCAGGTGGTCCCGAGGGCACCCTCCGTATGCCCCAGGAGGGTGCAAGGACACCCAGAGAACACCCAAGAGAAGCCCCGTTAAGGCCCCGATGCCACTCTTGTACGATTCCCCCCGCCTCTCCCGATCCTGCTTCCCTCGTCTCCTCCTGTCTCGTTCCCCTGCTACTGCTCCTGCTGCTCCTCCTCCTCCTCCTCCTCCTCCTCCCCCTCCTCCTCCTCCTCTGGCTCCTCTGGTTCCTATAAAGGGGGGCAGACTAGCCTCTTTCTTGAAGAAGGATCAAGCTCCTGCTCCTCCTCCTCCTCCTCCTCCTCCTCCTCCTCCTCCTCCTCCCTAGCCGCCCCCCTCCCTTCGTCGAAACCCGTCCGAAGGGTGTGCCACCATCCGGGCGAGGGAGGGGAGACGGGGGGCGGGGCGGCCCGTGGGCCTTGCCTCCGGGGCCGCAGGTGGAGCTCCCCGTGGGCCCACGGCCCGCGCAAGGGGTGCGCCGAGAGGGGATGGGGGGGCAGCCTGTGGGGTTAGGTCGGGCCCCTCCTGCAGGCGAACTTGGTAGCGCCCCGAACCCAGAGAGCGACGGAGAGCGAAGAGAGCTCCGGGAAGCTCCCCTGAAGCGCTTCTGAAGCGTTGCGAGAAACGCTTCCATGCGTGCCTGCACGCGTGCAAGCACGCGTGGAAGCTTGCCGGAAGCTCTCCCGGACCCGTTGCCGGTTCAGGCGAGGCGCTGCGAGGCCTGTGGAGCGACGGAAAAGAGCTCCTGGCGGGCACTACCACCGTCCGGCTTCTAATCTTAAACCCCTTAGGTCGGGCCCCTCCTGCAGGCGAGCTGTGGGTGGAAGAAACAATCAAACACTATTCAAACATAGCACTGGAGACACGAAAAAAGAGTCCCCTGACTATGTTTTGACTGTTTCTGAATGTTCCTCCTGTAAAGGGGCTGGCTCGACTAGAGGGTGGGGGGCGGCCTCTGGGGGAATGCAGCCGAACCCCCAGCGGGACACTATCCGCGCGAGGGTTGCGTCGAAGTGAGCCCAGTCTCCGAGGCTGGTGGCGGAGCTCCCTGTGGGCCAGGAGACGTGTCACACGTGCGCCGGAAGGAGCGGGAGGGCGGCATGCGAACCCCGTCTCTGGGGGCGCCGAGGGTGGAACTCCCTGTGCAGCAATGTCCGTGTGATGGGTGTGCTCACATGGGCGGGGAGGGGGCGGCATGCGGGCCCCGTCTCTTGGGCCGAAGTTGAAGTTCCCTGCGGGGCACGAAACGTCTGAGAGGTGGGCCCGGAGGGAGGAAGAGGAGGAAGAAGAAGAAAGAGGAGGGGAGGAAGAGGAGGAAGAGGAGGATGAGAAGAGGAATGGAAGAAGAGGAGGACGGAAGAGGAGGATGGGAGGGATGGGCTCGTTGGTTGTTTTTCAGTTTTGTCCCCCACCCGGGCACTGGCTCTGAATTCTCAGATCATCGAGAGGGGGGTTGCACATTGCGATGATTACCCGCAGCCTCAAAGAGCAGATCGCACATGCTGGCTCTGGAGCCTGCGACGGGACCTTCCCTGGCCTTGATCTGCACCCGGCGGCGTTCCTGACTCCCCTGAGCCCAGGCGATGATTAACCATGTCCCACGGAGATTAATCCCACAGGGATAATAAAGTTCGGGGTCGCGGGGGGATTAAAAATGTTGCCTACCGGAGGCCAGCATGTGGGAGGAGAAAGAGATGATGTTAAGAGGACCGAAAGCCGAGGATCGAGGATCGAGAATCTAAGTCCGAGGATCGAGGATCGAGATCCCAGAGTCGAGGATCGAGGTCCGAGGATCGACGGCGGCGAGGTCCGAGGATCGAGGATCGAGGTCCGAGGGTCGAAGATCGAGGCCCGAGAAAGCGTGCTTGTTTCACTTGAGATATCGTCCTCCGCGCCCCGCGCCCCGAGATCGGAGGCCGAACTTTTCAGTGATAAAAAAGTTCGGCCTCCGCGCCCCGCGCCCCTGACCAAACTCTTATTGGCCGTGGATAATCAACTCAGACCTGGGAAAGGGGGGTCCTTTCTTATCATCGGCACAAGGTTACCCGCAGCCTCAAAGAGCAGATCGCACATGCTGCCTCTGGAGCCTGGGACGGGACCTGTCCTGGTCCTAATCTGCACCTGGCGGCGTTCCTGACTCCCCTGAGCCTGGGCGATGATCACCCGCAGCCTCAAAGAGCAGATTGCACATGCTGCCTCTGGAGCCTGCGACGGGACCTTCCCTGTCCCTGATCTAAACCTGGCGGCGTTCCTGAGTCCCCTGAGCCCGGGCGATGATCGCCCGCAGCCTCAAAGGGCAGATCGCACATGCTGCCTCTGGGGCCTGCGACGGGACCTTCCCTGGCCCTGATCTGCACCTGGCGGCGTTCCTGACTCCCCTGAGCCGGGCGATGATCGCCCGCTGCCTCAAAGAGCAGACCGCCTTTCCTGCCTTTGGAGCCTGGTACGAGACCTTCCCTGGCCCTGATCTGCACCTGGCGGCGTTCCTGACTCCCCTCAGCCAGGGTGAGGATCACCAGCAGCCTCAAAGAGCAGATTGCACATGCTGCCTCTGGGGCCTGCGACGGGACCTTCCCTGGCTCTGATCTGCACCTGGCGGCGTTCCTGAGTCCCCTGAGCCCGGGCGATGATCACCCGCAGCCTCAAAGGGCAGATCGCACATGCTGCCTCTGGGGCCTGCGACGGGACCTTCCCTGGCCCTGATCGGCACCTGGCGGCGCTCCTGAGTCCCCTGAGCCCGGGCGATGATCGCCCGCAGCCTCAAAGAGCAGATCGCACATGCTGCCTCTGGGGCCTGCGACGGGACCTTCCCTGGCCCTGATCTGCACCTGGCGGCGTTCCTGACTCCCCTGAGCCGGGCGATGATCGCCCGCTGCCTCAAAGAGCAGACCGCTTTCCCTGCCTTTGGAGCCTGGTACGAGACCTTCCCTGGCCCTGATCTGCACCTGGCGGCGTTCCTGAGTCCCCTGAGCCCGGGCGATGATCACCAGCAGCCTCAAAGAGCAGATTGCACATGCTGCCTCTGGGGCCTGCGACGGGACCTTCCCTGGTCCTGATCTGCACCTGGCGGCGTTCCTGAGTCCCCTGAGCCCGGGCGATGATCACCCGCAGCCTCAAAGGGCAGATCGCACATGCTGCCTCTGGGGCCTGCGACGGGACCTTCCCTGGCCCTGATCGGCACCTGGCGGCGTTCCTGAGTCCCCTGAGCCTGGGCGATGATCGCCCGCAGCCTCAAAGAGCAGATCGCACATGCTGCCTCTGGGGCCTGCGACGGGACCTTCCCTGGCCCTGATCTGCACCTGGCGGCGTTCCTGACTCCCCTGAGCCGGGCGATGATCGCCCGCAGCCTCAAAGAGCAGACCGCCTTTCCTGCCTTTGGAGCCTGGTACGAGACCTTCCCTGGCCCTGATCTGCACCTGGCGGCGTTCCTGACTCCCCTCAGCCAGGGTGAGGATCACCAGCAGCCTCAAAGAGCAGATTGCACATGCTGCCTCTGGGGCCTGCGAAGGGACCTTCCCTGGTCCTGATCTGCACCTGGCGGCGTTCCTGACTCCCCTCAGCCAGGGTGAGGATCACCAGCAGCCTCAAAGAGCAGATTGCACATGCTGCCTCTGGGGCCTGCGACGGGACCTTCCCTGGTCCTGATCTGCACCTGGCGGCGTTCCTGAGTCCCCTGAGCCCGGGCGATGATCGCCCGCAGCCTCAAAGGGCAGATCGCACATGCTGCCTCTGGGGCCTGCGACGGGACCTTCCCTGGCCCTCATCGGCACCTGGCGGCGTTCCTGACTCCCCTCAGCCAGGGTGAGGATCACCAGCAGCCTCAAAGAGCAGATTGCACATGCTGCCTCTGGGGCCTGCGACGGGACCTTCCCTGGTCCTGATCTGCACCTGGCGGCGTTCCTGAGTCCCCTGAGCCCGGGCGATGATCACCCGCAGCCTCAAAGGGCAGATCGCACATGCTGCCTCTGGGGCCTGCGACGGGACCTTCCCTGGCCCTCATCGGCACCTGGCGGCGTTCCTGACTCCCCTCAGCCAGGGTGAGGGTCACCAGCAGCCTCAAAGAGCAGATTGCACATGCTGCCTCTGGGGCCTGCGACGGGACCTTCCCTGGTCCTGATCTGCACCTGGCGGCGTTCCTGAGTCCCCTGAGCCCGGGCGATGATCACCCGCAGCCTCAAAGGGCAGATCGCACATGCTGCCTCTGGGGCCTGCGACGGGACCTTCCCTGGCCCTCATCGGCACCTGGCGGCGTTCCTGAGTCCCCTCAGCCAGGGTGAGGGTCACCAGCAGCCTCAAAGAGCAGATTGCACATGCTGCCTCTGGGGCCTGCGACGGGACCTTCCCTGGTCCTGATCTGCACCTGGCGGCGTTCCTGAGTCCCCGGGCGATGATCACCCGCAGCCTCAAAGGGCAGATCGCACATGCTGCCTCTGGGGCCTGCGACGGGACCTTCCCTGGCATCGGCACCTGGCGGCGTTCCTGAGTCCCCTCAGCCAGGGTGAGGGTCACCAGCAGCCTCAAAGAGCAGATTGCACATGCTGCCTCTGGGGCCTGCGACGGGACCTTCCCTGGTCCTGATCTGCACCTGGCGGCGTTCCTGAGTCCCCTGAGCCCGGGCGATGATCACCCGCAGCCTCAAAGGGCAGATCGCACATGCTGCCTCTGGGGCTTGCGACGGGACCTTCCCTGGCCCTCATCGGCACCTGGCGGCGTTCCTGACTCCCCTCAGCCCGTTTCTTTCGGGATCCTTGGGCTCAGGTCAGGGCACCTGCAAGTATCCATGAGGCTGACCCCCTGTCCCCCTGCCCCCCCGAATCCTTTCTTGGCATGCGCGTTTGTGTCGGGATCCTGGGGCTCAGGGCAGGGCACCTGCAAGTATCCATGAGGCTGACCCCCTTTCCCCCTGCCACCCCCGAATCCTTTCTTTGCATGCGCGTTTGTGGAGCATCATGTGGCACTGAAACATTCCGTCCCCATGGTCGTTTCGAGCAAGAGAGGTAGGGGACGGAAAAAGGAAGAGGACGCGCAGCTCTGCGTTTTCAAAGCGGGGGCCCAGCTCCTCAGGAGGGCTGGGAATCAGCTTGCACTGAAAGGGTTCTTGTGGAAGATTACGCATACGCTTCCAGATGCAATCGTTTACGACCCTGACCCGCCCTGAAGCCAGGACTCGCTGGTCACCGGAGCAGTTCGAGAGAAGGTGCTCCAGTAACGGGGACGCGGGAAGCCGAAAGAGGCAGGACGGGAGAAGGAACGGAGACCTCTCGAACCAACCCTGGGATCGGTTTTCGTCGCAGGTTTCCTGTTTTGCCCCGAGGCCCGCAAACGGCCGCGGGGAAGCCAAAACTGCGGCAAGCCAGCCGTCTCGTTTTCAAGATTCCCACGGCACCTGGAGGTATGGGTCGGCCCATCCACTTTCGCTCGAAGTCAAGTCCTGGAGCACCTCCTGGACACCATCCAGACCAGTTGTCCGAGCGACATCACGAACACCAGAGTAAACCCAGCATGCATCAACGATGACCCAGAGTACCCTCTTCATCAAACCCTACATGCTCCTTTTCACTACAGAAGGCGCCCCCTTGAAAGACGAACGTTCAATGGGCACCGGGCCTGTCATTCAGGCGATAACTCCGTTTTAGAAAGGAGGCGACCATCCTTCGATCCATATGAACTGCCAAGAAGTAGTCTAAGAAGTAGGAGCAATCAATTCAGGGAAGAGTATATCGAGAGCAACTCCTTAAAAAAGAACCGCCCTCCTTGCCCGATTTGAAACGTTGGGTTGCACACTTCGACAAGGTCTCAAGCGAACGTCCCGCTTCGAAAAGAAACTTCCTCCATCACCAACTTGTTGCACAACTAAAACGTGGAAACAACATCAAATGAGGTTTCAAGCGAGAACGCAATGTATTATACCGTCCGCCCTCCATCCGTGTAACTGCCTGGACCTTTCAAAACGAAGGCGTATGGTGCTAAGGCGAGAGCCAAATTGGAGCACAACTTCGTCACAATCCGTGAAAAACACGTTGGGTGGAAATCGAATATGCGCGGCGCTTGGGGCGAGAATCACATCAACAATACATCCGGGCTCCATCCGTGCTGATGAAAACATTTGGAAATGCGCACGGGGTCAAGACGAAAACTCCGTTTCCAAACTCACCCTCCGACCGTACGTGCAACTGCTGGAAGCTGTCAAGATGAATGTGTGCGTTTCGCAAACAACCCACCGACATCCAAAGCGGAACCAACACCCTGTCCTACCGACACGTACGGTGATGCGGCGAGGAGGAGGTGTGCAGAAGGAAGACGGAGAGAGGAGGATAGCGATGGTGCTGGAAGTGACCGTGGCCCAAAGCATCACCAGTTCTTCAGGGGAGACCTAACCTCCACAGCACCCCTGCGAAAGGCCCAGAGCGCCCCAGGGCACAACGGCGCAGAAAGCTGGGGGCATCTGAGGCAAGGACTACTTCTGGGGACCTCCGACACGAAGATGAGGAGAAGGAGGAGGAGGAGGACAAGGATGAGGAAACGGCCGACAGGGGGGGGGGGGGCTGCGCTACTGTACATCCGGCCGATGAGCGCCGCTTGAAAAACCTGCGACCCGGCCCGACGCAGCGGCGCGGCGCACCACGCGCGGCTGCGGCGGGCCGGCTGTCTGCGGGACGTCGCCCGCGGCGGCGCAGGTGCTCAGCGCGCCGTGGCGAGGCCGCTGGGCCCGCGCGGCTCGCCGTCCTGAGCCCGCCCCGTTCCCCCGCGGCCGCGCTGGCTGGCCCCCGGCCCCCCTGATCTGCATCCTATTCCCTCCTCCTCCTCCTCCTCCTCCTCCTCCTCGTCCTCCTCCTCCTCCTCCTCCTCCTCCTCCTCCTCCTCACTCCTTCCTCCTGGCTCCTTCCGCCTCCTCTTCCTCTCCTCCTCCTCCTCCTCCTCCTCCTCCTCCTCCTCCTCCTCCTCCTCCCTCTTCATTCACCCTCGTTCCTCTCCTCCCGCATCCATAACCCTTCGCACTCATCGTCCCTCCCCTTCTTCTTCTTCTTCTTCTTATTCTTCTTCTTCTTCAACTTCTTCCTGCAAGCCACGCCCGCACCCCGCCCACCCCACACCACGCACACACGCACACACACACACACACACACTTAGTCGGCGGCGCTGAAAATCCGCAGGCGCGGACGGCAGATGGAGGTGCCAATTGCGATCGACATACACACACGCACACACGCACAAACACACGCACACAACATGACAGAAACATATCGGCACGCACACACGCAGACACACACACACATACACACGCGCACACACAGAGGCACACACAGCGTAATACACACACACATGCACACACACACACACGCAGACACACACTGACACACACACACACACACGCAAGGCAAGAACAACACACACAGAGACGCGGGCGCGCACACACATGTGCATACACATGCACCATACACATACACATACACAAATACACAAGCACACACACACAAGCACCACTCACACACACACACACACACACACACACACATACGCGCACACACGCACCCACACGCACACACGCACACACACTTTGGGGCCGCGGCCCCGCGCGCAGCGACGCAGCGGTGGCCCTCGGAGAGGCGCCCGAAGCTCCGAGGCCACGGAAGCGGCCGGTGACCCCCGCCGCCCGGCGACGGCGCACAGGCTCCACAGCGCCGTGCGGGCGTCTCTCTCGGGGGTGGCAGCCCAGAGAGGGGACGAGCGAGGCAGCTCGCTCCAGCCGCCACCAGGGGGAGGCGGGTGGGGGGGGTATCGAGGCATGAGGGGCCCATGGTTCACCGCCGCTACCACGGGTAGGATGGGGGAGGAGGGAGGATGGGGGAGGTCCTCCTCCTCCTCCTCCTCCTCCTCCTCCGCCTCCTCCTCCTCCTCCTCCTCCCTCTGCTGCTGGTGGCAAAGGTGGTGGAAAATCGGCCCATCAGAGGTAGCCGCCCGTGACGGACCACGAGGGGCCCGCAAGTACGGCGCACGGAGCACGACGGACCTTCGGGGAGGGCCGCGAAGCCCATAGGGCGGGTGGGGGGATGGAGTCGGGCAGACGCGGTCACGAGGGCTCGGGTGAAGGGCGCAGAAGGGGGTCTGTAGCAGCGGCGGCCAGAATACACTCGCACAAGCAAAGACACTAACACACAAGCATACAGGCAAACACACTCACACAGGCACACACGCACCACACACACAAACACACACGCACACACAAACACACACACACACACGTATGCACACTTACACACAAACACTTATACACCTCTCACGTCGCAAGGGAATCGTGTCTCGACGCCACTGCAACGACTGGCGCAAAAACCTGAACAGCCCGCAAGGAACGCAGGCTAAACCACGCATACGAACAAAACAGTTTCAACGGAGAGAACACGAGGGCACCTTCCCCTGACGCAGATCAGATATGAAGAGTCGTGCCATAGCACGCACACATCCCTTTCTGAGATCGATTATGGTTGCCGAGCCGTGAATTACCCCCTCTTCGTCCCTCTCCCCATTTCCCCGTACCTCCTACTCCTCCTCCCCCCACCTTCCTGCCGCCTCTCTCCCCTCTGTTCCTCCTGCATCCTCCTCCTCCCCCCGATCGGCCCTGCCATCCTGGAATTCCCTCTGCCCCCCCGCACTGGGCAGAAGGAAGCTGTGACCGGCATTGTCTGCATTCTTCCCCTCTCGCCCTCCCTCAGGAATGTGGGCCTTTTCCGCCGTCTCCACCTCTGGCTTCTGCTCATCCTTCTCCTCCTGCTCCTCTTCATCCGCCTCATTCTTCTCCGTACCCTCAGCCTGCTCCCTGCCATCGGAAGAGGGAGGACGGATCCCCCGCCCCTGTCAACCGAGCTCCGCCATGAAGCGGTGCCTCCTCCGCACATTTGGTGCAGACGTCCCCAAGACTCCACGCCGCGGTGAAGTCTTGGCAGCGGCCCTCGACCCCGCACTCCCTCGGAGGCACTCCCCGGCACAGATGGGTCCGCGAGGGCTTCGGCGCCGGGACTCCCGCGCTGCGGAAAAAAACACGACCAGAGACTTTCCGCAGACTCCTCAAGCCGGATCTGCAATCGCCGTGCTAAGACAGTCAACACGTAATAGAAGAATCGTCCCCAGGCTAGTTTTTGACTAGTTGTGAAGATTCCGCCTGCAGAGAGACACGCCCGACTAGAAACAACGAGTAAGGAACGAAGGGGCGTGTGTGGCCAAGGCGAGCCTCGGCCACAGATGGGTCCCCCAAGTCCGATCTGAGGATGGACGAGCGCGTTCCACTGCTCGCAGAGTAGCCGCTCGCAAATGGCCTGGATCCGCCGCGGGGGATCTACGATAAATCACATCGAAGCAGGCATGTGGTCTTCGGGCGTCTGCGAGCAGGCACTGCGCGAGCAGTGGAACGCGCTCGGTGAGAGGAGCGGCCCGAACACCCGAGCCCCTGCTGAGCCCAGACTGGTCCTCAGCTCAGCGTCCTGACGGTGCACGCGAGGGGGCCCCAAAGGTTGAGTCGGGCGTGTCCCCCCACAGGCGGAGCTTTGAACAAAAATTCAAACATACCCCAAAGATGCAGCCAAACTGCCCAGAAAATAATCAAACAAATCGTTCCCTGACTGATGTTTCCCAACCATCCTGTGGTGTTGGGTCCTCGTTTTGAAGAGACGGTGCCCCGCGTTCCTCTCCTCTCCTCTCCTCTCCTCTCCTCTCCTCCTCTCCTCCCCTCCTCTCCTCCTCTCCTCTTCACCCACCCAGTACACCGCTTCGTGGCTCCATAGGGAGCTCCACCGAAGGCCCCAGTGCCCGCGCCCGCATGCGTCACCCACACCCATTTCGGCACACCCCTCACACGCTTCGTGGCTCCATAGGGAGCTCCACCGAAGGCCCCAGTGCCCGCGCCCGCATGCGTCACCCACACCCATTTCGGCACACCCCTCACACGTTTCGTGGCTCCATAGGGAGCTCCACCGAAGGCCCCAGTGCCCGCGCCCGCATGCGTCACCCACACCCATTTCGGCACACCCCTCACACGTTTCGTGGCTCCATAGGGAGCTCCACCGAAGGCCCCAGTGCTGCGCCCGCATGCGTCACCCACACCATTCGGCACACCCCTCACACGTTTCGTGGCCCCATAGGGAGCTCCACCGAAGGCCCCAGTGCCCGCGCCCGCATGCGTCCCCCACACCATTTCGGCACACCCCTCACACGTTTCGTGGCTCCATAGGGAGCTCCACCGAAGGCCCCAGTGCCCGCGCCCGCATGCGTCACCCACACCCATTTCGGCACACCCCTCACACGTTTCGTGGCCCCATAGGCTCCGAAGGCAGTGCTGCCGCCCGCATGCGTCCCGCACACCCAATTCGGCACACCCCTCACACGTTTCGTGGCCCCATAGGGAGCCCCACCGAAGGCCCCAGTGCTGCCGCCCGCATGCGTCCCGCACACCCAATTCGGCACACCCCTCACACGTTTCGTGGCCCCATAGGGAGCCCCACAGAAGGCCCCAGTGCTGCCGCCCGCATGCGTCCCGCACACCCAATTCGGCACACCCCTCACACGTTTCGTGGCCCCATAGGGAGCTCCACCGAAGGCCCCAGTGCTGCCGCCCGCATGCGTCACGCACACCCAATTCGGCACACCCCTCACACGTTTCGTGGCCCCATAGGGAGCTCCACCGAAGGCCCCAGTGGCGGCGCTCACATGCGCATGCGTCCCGCACACCCATTTCGGCACATCCCTGACAGGTTCGTGGCCCCATCATCCACCGGAGGCCCCAGTGGCGGCGCTCACATGCGTCACCCACACCCACCCAATTCGGCACACCCCTCACACGTTTCGTGGCCCCATAGGGAGCTCCACCGAAGGCCCCAGCGGCCGCGCTCACATGCGTCCCCGCCACCCATCCCGGCACGCCCCTCACAACAACAGGTTTCGTGGCCCCATAGGGAGCTCCACCGAAGGCCCCAGTGGCACCGCCCGCATGCGTCACCACCCGCACCCAATTCGGCACACCCCTCACACGTTTCGTGGCCCCATAGAGAGCTGCACCGAAGGCCCCAGTGGCGGCGCTCACATGCGTCCCCGCCACACATCCCAGTACACCCCTCACGCGCTTCGTGGCCCCATAGGGAGCTCCACCGAAGGCCCCAGTAGCGGCGCTTACATGCGTCTCCGCCACCCATCCCGGCCCCCCCCCGCAGCAGCATCATGTTTCGGGGACCCATAGGGAGCTCCACTGGAGGCCCCAGTGGCGGCCCGCACATGCGTTTCCGCCACCCATGTCGGCACGCCCCGCGCGTGTTTCATGTCCCCATAGGGAGCTTCGCCGAATGCCCCAGTGGCACCCATCTCGGCACACCCCTCACACGTTCCGCAGTCCTATGGGGAGTTCCATTGAAGGTGAAACCCGCAGCTGCGGTACTGACAACTGCATATGGTTGGGTTCTTCGCCAGGCTAATTTGAATATTTTTGAACATTCCTCCTGTAGAGGGACGCGCCCGACTGAACCCAAAGGACCCGAGATCGGGGCGAGAGCGCCCCGCGGGCGGCCTCCACGAACAGGGCGCTGCCGGGGCCGCTGAGCCAGCACTCCAGCCGGCACGTCACGCGCATGCGCAGGGCGCTGGTGAAGCAGGCTGGTCGCTGGCCGCGGGTCGCGGCCCCCCAGGCCCTCCTCCTCGTCGTGCGCCTCCTCGCGTCCTCGTCCACGCCTTCCTCCGCGTCCTCCTCCCCTCCTCCTCCTCCTCATCCAGCTCCTCCTCCACCTCCTCCTCCTCCTCCTCCTCCTCCCTCCTCCTTGTCCTCCTCCGTATCCTCCTCCTCATCGCCACCACTTTCCTCCTCCTCCTTCTCGCGCCTCTTCCTCTCCCCCCCCCCCTCCTTCAACCTCGTCGTCGTCGTCGCCGTCCTTCCTCGCGCCGCAACCAAAGACCGATGCTCGGGCTGATGGATAGGGAATCCTCCTCCTGGTCCTCATCTTGCTCCCGCTCCTCCTCTTCCTCCTCCTTCTCCTCCTCCTCCTCATCATCATCGTCATCATCACCACCATTACCACCACAACTACAATCATCACAATCATAATCAGCATCATCATCAGCAGCAGCATCATCATCAACATCATCAGCAGCATCACCATCGTCATCACCGTCATCGTCATCGTCATCTGCACCAGCACCACCATCAGCATCAGCAACACCACCACCATGACCACCATCATCATCACCACTAACACCACCATCATCATCATGATCATCATCATCACCATGATCATCAACAACGAAACACCACCACCATCCTCATCATCATCAGCATCATCATCACCAGCATCATCATCATCACCATCACCATCACCATCATCAGCATCAGCATCATCAGCATCATCATCATCATCATCATCATCATCATCAGCATCATCATCATCATCATCATCATCATCATCATCATCATCATCATCATCATCATCATCATCATCATCATCATCATCATCATCATCATCATCATCATCATCATCATCATCATCATCATCATCATCATCATCATCATCATCATCTTCAGCATCATCATCAGCATCATCATCTTCATCATCAGCATCATCATCATCCTCATCACCATCTCCTGCTACACCCCCGGCCATCCCCCAGGCGCTTCCGCCGAAGGGCGCAGCAGGCGGCCGAGACGATTCGCGCAGGTACGGAGGAGAGGGATGGAGTTCAGGGACCAACACACCAAAACGCCACCGAGGAGGAGGCCCAGAAACCAGGGAGGAGAGGGAATCGAACAAAAAAACAAACTGGAGCAGACGCGGCAGCGGAGCAGACGCGACGGCTTGCAGTGCCTCGGAGATGAGCTGTGCTAGCGCCGCCATCTCCTGCTACGCCCCAAACCCCTCGACGTGTGTGGCGGGCGCCCCCCCGCGATTCCACCGAATGGCGCAACAGGCGAACGAGACGACTCGCACAGGTACGGAGAAAAGGGAGCAAGACCAGGGACCGACACATCAAAACACCACCGAGGAGACTCGAACCCGAACCCGAGAAGCAGCGGAGATAAGTGACGCCGATACACGAGTGTATGACAGATGCCTTATATCAATAACATATTGTACATACCTTGGTATATATGTATACACAAGAAACGGCTAAGGTGACCATTCGTTTAAACCTCCTTCTAAACACCGTTTGCCCGGCAATCCAACGCGACAAGTAACTGAGCAACTTTACGAGATACGGCTCTGCGATGCGTGTCAGGAAAAATCAAACAACTGGATCTAAACCCAAAAGCGCGATGTTGGGCGTCCCTGAACAAGAACACAAATCTCTCCTACGCGGGACCTCAGGGCGGTGGTGAACCCAGCAAACAAACATGATGAAGATCCTCCAGCGGGCCTGGGATGAACACTGATTATTCCGGCGCCGTGAGCCGTGCGGAGTGTCTGCAAGCCTAAGGCCTGGGGCCGCCCGGGCCCAGGTCCCTTGGTTCTCGAGGTAGACGGGGATGCCCATGGAGCGGCGAAGCGCAACAGGTTGTTACCAAAATCGACGGCCGCTTTGGCCCTGCGCGCCAACTGCGGGAGCTCCCATAATAGGCGTGGCTTTGCGGGCTGGACGGAAGGGCGACCCACACGGCACTGAGAACCCCACCTCCAACACAGCCGTGGAGGACCTGGCGGACAACTGGCACGTAAAAACGTAGTCACGGCTTCAGAGCGAAATCGAACAGAAGGGCAGCGATGTCCTGGCGGCGAGCAGCAGCAGAGACCCGGGCAAAGCCAGCACACAGCTTCAACACGACAGTGCGAGGGGAGCTCTACTTCTGCAGGCCAGAAGAAGTACACAGTTCGCCGAGGAGGTGACCACTTGGAGGTTGCATCGGCGACAAGTGGTGCTGCGGCAAGCTGATTAGTGCCCCCGCGCGCTGCAGCTCGGCGACGATCCGGGCCTGCTTCGCGCAGCGGCGGAAGCTCTCTCGTCCGAGGCCCAACCGCCGCGCCGCTGCAACTCCGGGGCCTGGCGCTGCCTCGAAGGAGGGTCGTCCGAGGCCCCGCCGCGGCGCACACCGTGCGCTGCGACGGGGAAACCCGCCAAGCCCAGGCCAACTGGCGCCCCCCCCCACGGGGGGGCGTCCAAATGTGTGAATATATGTATATACATATGTGGGTGTAGACAGACAGGGAGAGAGAGAGGGAGAGAGAGAAATGTAGACAGAAAGGGAGAGAAACAGAGAGAGAGAGAGAAAGACAAACGAAAGAGAAAGAGATATACCATAAAAACAAACAACAACAAAATGAGATAACTGGGGCGCTAGAATGCGTCCGTCCATAGTATTGGTTCCGTGCCGCACACGTCCCCCCTCCAAACTCAATCTGCCAACCACGCGTTGGCCTCCTCCAGCTCGAACTGGCCCTGCAAGACTGCCGAGCAGTTGAGTTGGGTCTCGCTGCCGCCGACCAACACCTGCCCCTCAGACAACTCGTGCGATCTCTCTCTCTCTCTCGGTTTGCGCTCAGCGAGACATTCGGGCACAATGTAAGAAACAAGAGTTTTGAGTCACTCGAAGATCTGGGTGTCTTGGAGACTGTTCGGACTCAAACCTGATCTGATTCGCAGACAACGTCAAGCTGCCTCGGCCATGTCGGGGCCCACTTGCTTCGTGGGCACTCTTCTGCACTTCCTGGAGATGTCGTGGACGTCTCAGGCCGCGTGAGCATTCTTTGAGGCCCGACAGGAATTAATGATTGGCAACCTCCTCACTGCCTACCAGACCACCTCAACCTCACCCGAAGAGCCGAATCTCGGGTTGGGGGGGGCGGGTTCCACTCGTGTTTTTCAACAAGGGCTCCCAACTTCGCGCTGCGCGAAGCGCGAAGTGCGAATAACTTCGCGCCCTCGCGCCGCCTTCCAGGGGAGAAGAGGAGGATGAGGAGGAATCGGAGCCGAAGCGCGAAGCGCGAATAACTTCGCGCCCTCGAGGGCGCCCTTGCTCAGTGTTCCCCGACCCCCCCCCCACACACAGGAGATGGAGGGCAGAGCGGGGCCTTCGGGCTGGGTTGGGGTGGCCTGGTGGGCGGCGACCTCCCGGGCCCCGCGGCCCGAGGGCGGCGCGTGCCCCCTCGCCGCTTGGCGGCAGGCGATGCTTCCGAGGCAGCTCATGGGAGTCTCCCAGGCCGGGCGAAAGGGGGGGACAGCAAAGGTAGGGAGCCCACAAAGGACGTACGCGCCCAGCTATGTACATGAACACGGCCCCTCGATTCGCGAGACCGGCCGCGTGATACGAACATTTGTGCATTGCGCGCTCTCGAAACCAGCGTGGATTCATGTACATGTACATCCTTCTTTCGCTCCTGAAAAGGGGGGGTTTGAGAATCAGCTCACGTAGCTGATTTTCCCGGCGCAGGCGCCCATGCATCGAGGAATGGGCCCGGCGGCGGGGCCGAAACCAGCAGATGTCGTAACCCCCCCTTTCCCAATCCCCCCCTTTCGTCCGGCCTGAGTCTCCCGCATCATCTTGTTGGACTCTTGCGAATCGACGCTCGTCGACGCCACTAATCGACGCTAGATCGACGCTAGTCGCTAAGCGATGCTGATCGACGCTAATCGGTGCTGAATCGGCACTGTCGCATCGATTACTAGACGCTAATCGAGGCCGGTGCACCCTAAGGACAGAATTGCGAGGGTACACAAGGCTCCCATGGCGTGCCACCAAGACATAGAACAATTGAGCCAACGTTCATACGGCGAAGCACGGGACAAACTCCCCAGCCACCTGGTTTGCATCACACTGACACCACCTCCCCCCCGACTTTCGGCGGCGAGCGAGGGGGGGGAAATGAGAAGGAGGAGGCCCTCTCAGAAGGCGGCGGGACTTCTCACAAGCCTTCGCACCTTCTCACAAGTCTGCTGCGCCTTCGGGGAAGGCTTGGAAAACCTCTCGGGAGGCCGGGGGACCTCCGAGCCTTCTGAGAGTGCCTTCTCCTTCTCGCTTCCCCCCCCCCCTCGCTCGCCACCCATCCTTCTCCTCAAGCGGCTCGAGGGGCCCATCAACAACCTGGCCGCTCCAGCGCAACGGGAGCCCAGCGCGCTTCGATGTGGCGGCGCGGCGCCCGCCTCCCGCCACGTGGAAGGCGCCCGCTGCACACCAGGCACGGACCGTGGCCGGGCCCCTCCAGGGCCGAGGGCTGGCATGGCCAGGAGCCGCGCTGGCGCTCGGGCCCCGGGGGCACCCTGGCCCTGACGGCCGGGAGCCGCTCCCTCCGGCCTTCGCAGCACCCATGGAGGACGAGGAGGAGGACGAGGAGGAGGAGGAGGACGAGGAGGAGGACGAGGAGAAGGACGAGGAGGAGGACGAGGACGAGGAGGACGAGGACGAGGAGGACGAGGACGAGGAGGAGGAGGACGAGGAGGGGGAGGCGGTGGGGGAGGAGCAGGAGGGCGGCGAGTAGGAGGGCGAGCCGGAGCGAGGCGGGCGCAGCGCGAAGCAACAACCTCGTCGTCGCAGCGACGCGAGCGGACCACGGAGCGTCTGGGAGCTTTCCAGGCCAGGGTAAGGGTAGGTTGGGCGTGTCCCCCTACAGGCGGTTTTGGACGAAGGATATAAAATAGTCAAACAATCTTGAAAAATGATTCAAAAATCATAAGGAAATCGTCCCCTGACTATTTTTGGTCTATTTCTTTCCTCCTGTAGAGGGACACGCCCTACTTGAGGGTAAGGGTGTATCGAGAATCTCTGAGACCTGGAGGCTCTGGAGGACGTCTCAGGCGCTGCGGCCCTCTCAGAGTGCTCGGGGGCGCGCTCCGAGAGCGTTCCGAGAAGCGCTCTGGAACGGATGAGCTTATCCTCGTCCCAGCACCCCGCCTGGCGCGGCCCAGCCGAGTGCACACCGGGCAGGCACAGCAAAAGGAGAGGGAGGATGCGGCGAAGCGCTGCAGGCGGCGCGGGCACGCTCGGAGCACGCAGCGGCCCCCCCGCTGCACCGCTTCGGTCGGCGGCGGGCTGGGTCCTTCGGTCGCGGTCGCGCCAGTGGCGGGACGCGTCCGCGGCCACCGGCCGCGCGACGGCCAGAGAGGAGATCCCCCCAGCGCGCACGCGCGGACACCGCGCAGGCACACACGAGGGCAGTCGCGCACAGCGCACGTGGGCGGCGGCGGGCAGTGCGACGCCGGCCCCTCCCGCCGCTGCGGGCACCGCCGCCCCTCCTTCTGGTTCCACCACGGCGACTCCGAGGCGAAGGACGTGTCCACTGCCGCCTCAGCGGGTACCTCCTGCCCAGGGGGGGGCAGCCGGCAGAGCGGCACGGAGCAGAGCAGAGCGCCCGCGGAGTCTCGCATGGGGCAGCAGAGGCTAGAGATGAGCGCAGCGCAGTGCCAGCACGGGGCTGAGCACATGCCCGCCAAAGACCTCTGCAGGAACAGGATGCGAAGAACAAAGGCGTGCGCACTGCCAGTGAGAAGCGCGAGGCCAGTCCATGACGAGGAGCCGGGGGCGAGCGGGCAGATCCAAGAGGAAGAGAGGAATGTAATGTCCAAGTGATACAAACTCGAAGTTCAGAGCCTGTCCAGACCATGAATAGAGGAAGGCCGGCGAGTATGAGCAGCAATCGAACCAGGTGTGCTGCTGTTTGTTTCGTTCCCTCTCTCTCTCTCTCTTCCTCGAGTTTTCTCTCGCTCGCTCCCACTCTCTCTCTTTCTATCTCTCCCTCTCTCTTTCTCTCTCTCTCTCTCTCTCTCTCCCTCCCCCTCTCCCTCCACTCAGCACATGGATGTGTTTGTGTGTGTGCGCGCGCGTGTGTGTATGTGTGTGTTTCTGCGTGTCTGTGTATGCGTGTGGATGTCTGTGTGAATGCGTGTGTGTATGCGTGTGCGTGTGCGTGTGTGCGTGTCGTGTTCGTGTGCGTGTGCGTTTGCGTTTGCGTTTGCGTGTGCGTTTGCGTTTGCGTGAACGTGTGCGTGCGCGTGTGCGTGTGCGTGTGCGTGTGCGTGTGCGTGTGCGTGTGAATGTGTGGAAGTGTGGAAGTGTGTGTGTGTGTGTGTGCGTGCGTGTATGGGTGTGTGGGTGTGTGGGTGCCCCGGTGCCCGGGTGCCCGGGTGTGGGTGTGTGTGTGGGTGTGTGTGTGTGAACGTGTGTGTGTGTGGGTGTGTGCAGGTGGGTGCCTTCTGGATGTATTTAAGTGTGTGGGTGGTCATGTGGGTGTGTGTGTGTGGGTGTGTGTGGGTGTGTGTATGTTGTTTGCTGGTGTTTATGTGTGAATGTTTGTGTGTGCGTGTGTGCGTGCGTGCGTGCGGGAGTGTGTATGTATGTGCGTGCGTGCGGGTATGTATGTGCGTGCGTGCGTGCGTGCGTGCGTGTGCGCGTGCGTGCGTGCGTGCGTGCGTGCTTGCGTGCGTGCGTGCGTATGCGGGCCTCGCCGGCCGCCTCCCTCCCCTGCTGCCCCTTCACTTCTCTGAGGTGCCGGCCTTGCATCGCACCGCCCTTGCCTGGTCTTCAGGCCAGCCCACCCAGGCCCCCGCTCGGGGCCTGTGGATGCTTGGCAGGCCACCCGCGGCCTCGGCATGCCTGCCCCGCCTCCTCCCGCCCGCCCCGCGGGCCTGCCCTCCCCAGGCAGGCACCCTTCGCTGGCATGACGGCCTGCCTGACTCACGGGCGTAGTCCCACCGCTGGCGGGCTTCGTCGTTTCGCCCCAGCTGGTTCTTAGGTCACCCATGACCTCGGCACCTACCGCCCTCCCAACTCGCATCCGTGGGGCTGGCTCGCCGTGCCTACCTCCCCCGGCGTTGCCTTGCGCCTTCTCCCCGCTCTGCCTCCCACTTCGGGCCTGTTGTCCCGGCCCAGGCTGCCTCGTAGGTCACGCTTGACCTCGGCGCCCGGCACGCAGGCGGCCCGCCTCTCGCCTCGCAGGCGGCCGGAGGCGGCAGCCTCGGCGCTGGGCCTCGCCCCGCCGCCCTCCCGTCTTCGGAGGTGTTGCCCCCCGTGTCGACTGCCGTGCGCTGCACGCTTCCTTGCCTTCGCCCTTTGGCGCGCGCTGCACTCTGAGGGGTCGACTCTCCACCACCACTACCATTGGTAGGAGGGGGGAGGAGGGAGGATGTGGAGGTCCTCCTCCTCCTCCTCCGCCTCCTCCTCCTACCTCCTCCTCCTCCTACCTATGGTAGGTGGTGGTGGAAAACCGGCCCATCACACTGTGCCCGGCATCGCTGAGCCTTCGTCCTCGCCTTCACGCTCGCCGTCAGGGCAGCCCCTCAGTCTGCGCGCCCCCCCTCTACCCTCCACGCGTGGATGGCGGATGCCGTTCTCCAGATCTCCTCCACGCCCCGATGGCTGATGTCGGCAGGACCGTATCCTGAGTGATGCCTGTAGGCCCGGCCGCCGCGCGCACTGTTTGCACGGTTTCTCCGCCTCGTCGCTGCGCGCGAGGCCGCGACCACCAAAAGAGAGTGCGCGTGCGTGTGTGCGTGTTTGCGATGTGTGGGCGTGTGTTGCGCTGTGTGCGTGTGTGCGTGTGTGCGATGTGTGTGTGTGCGTGTGTTGCGCTGTGTGTTCGTGTGTGTGTGTGCGTGCGTGTGCGATGTGTGGGCGTGTGTTGCGCTGTGTGCGTGTGGGCGTGTGTGCGGATGTGTGTGCGTGTGTTGCGATGTGTGTGCGTGTGTATGTGTGTGTGTGTGTGCGTGCGTGCGTGCGTGTGTGTGTGTGTGTGCGTGTTCGTGCGTGCGTGCGTGTGTGCGATGTGTGGGCGTGTGTGTGTGTGTGTGTGCGTGTGTGCGATGTGTGGGCGTGTGTTGCGCTGTGTGCGTGTGTGCGTGTGTGTGCGTGTGTGTGTGTGTGTGTGTGTGTGCGTGTGTGTGTGCGTGTGTGCGCTGTGTGTGCGTGTGTGTGCGTGTGTGTGTGCGTGTGTGCGTGTGTGTGTGCGTGTGTGTGTGCGTGTGTGTGTGCGTGCGTGCGTGCGTGCGTGCGTGCGTGCGTGCGTGTGTGTATATATGTGTGTGTGCGTGTGCGTGTGCGTGTGCGTGTGCGTGTGTGCGATGTGTGCGATGTGTGCGATGTGTGCGATGTGTGCGTGTGTGCGTGTCTGCGTGTCTGCGTGTGCGCGCTTTTGTGCGCGCGCGTGTGCGCGTATGTGCACGTGTGCGTGTGGTTACGTGTTGGTGCGTGTTGGTGCGTGGGTGTCGGTGTAGGGGTATGTGTGTGTGCGCGTGTGTGCGTGTGCGCGTCCTGGCGTGGCCAGCAGCCCGCGGCTGAGGCTATGTGCCGCCGCTCCACCCCCCACGCGATAGATAGGGCGTTGGTCTACGCTGGCTGTGGTGATGTCGTCTTCGTACCCAGACTGCACACGTGCTACCTATCACATCAGATCTACATCGCGATGGCAAATCATGCAATCATTGTAACACTGCTGAGATGGGCGAACTCGGCGAAAGGAAACGGGAAGCACTGTTGGGGAAACCAAAAGGTACCGATACCGCTACCCCCCGGACCTCTCCTGGGGACAGTTCTGACGAGAATTTCCAGGCGAATCCAGCGGTGGCGACGAAGGCCGCACAGGAGGCCCAAAAAGAGGAAAACGGGGGCAGGGTAGCGGTGTGGGTACCTTTTCCTCCTCTGAGATCTCGGTAAAAGAAAACGGGAAGCACAATGGGCTACGGGCATGACTTGCCCAACATGCCATCGCGATGTCGACTCTTCGCGCCCAGCTGATCGCGCTGCCTCTGGATCACGGCGCCAGGCGGCCGCAGCAAGAACGCGCAGGGGTCAGAACGCAAGCGTGAAGTATGCCGCACCCGTCCACGAGGGCGGTGGACGGGGGAGGGGAAGCGGGAAAAGGAGGACGGCGAGCCAGGGACGCCGAGCTCGCCACGGGTGGGGCGGAGGAGGAGGGGCGCCGAGCGCGCGACGCGGAGGCGCGGAGGGGGGATGAGCCCGCGCCCCCCCCCCCCCTTGCGGCCACGGCCGCGCGGCCCGTGGGGACGAAGGGGGATGAGGGGAAGGTCGAGCAGGGACCGACCGTCCTGGCAGTCCTACGGGCCTACCACGAGTGTTACAAGCGCAAGCACAATGTTCTTACACGGTGGGGGCCCATGCCAAGAAACACCCTGCTCGCCTCCAGGGTGCCCTGATTTTCTTGGGTTTCGATGGTTTTGCCACGGCAAGCGCGACGTTCCCACACCAAACATCCATGGACGTTCTGGGGTCTCAGGGTTGGTTTTCTTGTGGAGGGTTTCTTGTGGATTGGCCCCAACTGTAACATGAGCCCGATGTGTGACAACAACGTAGTCTCAGCCAGAAGTGTCCTAAGATTTGGACGCCCGAAATGGGTACGGAAAGAATGGGTCAATGCCCAACAACAAATGTTGTCCCAAACCAACAGCGGCCGCTGTTGGGCAGGAGGCCTCCTGTCCCAAATGGACACAGGCCGCGGCGGCGCGGACAGCGAGCCCTGCTCAAAATGAACAGGAACTGCTGTTCGGCATTGTACCCATTCTTTCCGTACCCATTTCGCGCGTGCAGATAAGAACACTTTGTGCAGACCACAAGAGGTTATTATAACATTTTTCGGTGGACCTCTAAGCGAGCTGGGACTCTTCGCCACTGCTTGCGAAGGGGGCGAGGGACGCCCGCGCTCGCAAGACGCCAGCCGACCACCACACCGATCCCGAGCCAGGCCGGCCAGGGCCCGTGATGGGGGGCCAGCTGGCCTTAGTGGGCCCTGGAAACGACAGGGCCGTTTTTGTACCGGTTCCGTTGTGCCGTTTTTGCCGGTTCCGACACCGTTTTTTTACCGGTCCTGTCGCCGTTTTTTGAACGGTTTCGGCTCTGGGTCCAATCCTGGAGCCGTTTTTTTCCCGTTTCCGGTCGCCGTTTTTTACCGTTTCCATTTTCAAAGGATATTTTGTTCGGAAACGGTGAAAAAACGGCCCTGCCGCTTCCGGGGCCCACAAAGCGGCTGGCATCCCTGAAGCGAGGAGAGCGTCGAGGCGGTGCCGCGGCGGAAGTCCGCGAGGTCGACGAGCTTTTCGGCACAGGCGCTCACGCTGGCGCCCGGCGGCGTCTTCTTGGACTCGCGCGCGCGCGCTCGAGTCGGCCAAGCGAGGAGGCGCCACAACAAAGCGCGGGAAGAGGCACAAAGGGAGTGGCGGGTTTTGGGGAGGGGCGATGCTGAGAGAGACGGGGGCGGCAGGAAAGGAAAGGGAGGGGGAGAGAGGGGGGAGGGCATCAGGGACTGAGGAGGGGGGGAAGACGACCTCGACGACGACGACGACGACGACGACGACGACGACGACGACGACGAAGAGGTCGACGACGACGACGACGACGACGACGACGACGACGACGACGACGACGACAGCAACGGCGACGGCGAAGGCTGAGGAAGATACAGAAGGGCAGGGTGGAGGGGAAGGGGGGGGGCAGGCGGAGGAGAAGGAGCCCCGAAAAGCGGGGGAGGAAGAGGGAAGGACGACAGGAGGCTTCCACCCTGTGGGGTGCCGGCCGAGCAGGCCCGCTGCAGAAAAAAACCCAGAGACCACGGGGGCGGCCGCAAAGGGCCGCGCCTAGGGCAATGGGGGAAATCAAGTTCCCTCGGGTTTGAGCAGGGACCGACCGTCCCGGCATTCCTATAGTCCTACCACGAAATGCTCGTAGAACCCAAAGATGTTCTAAGAACCAAATCAATGTTTTTAGAACATTCGCCCGACGTGTTAAACCAAGTCAGTCCCAGCCAGAAATGTTCTAAGAGTATGTCGTGGAAACCACAAAAGGTTCTTAGAACATTGTTTGGTAGGGCTATAGGTGAGCCAGGACGCTTCGCCACTGCTTGACGGGTGCGCCCGAAAACTGATTCGGGGCGGGGCCCAGCCGACCCGATGGGCCAGGTCCGCTCACAAATCGCCATGCTGACGGCCAACTGCCAGCGGTGGGCCTTGCCGATAGGGGTAGAAACCCTTGGCCCAACAAGGCATGCTTTCCGCGCCGTCACGCGCACCCGGTCAATAACATGGCAGGGGTCAGCCGTCGCACGCTGACCGCAAGCATGACAGAAGATCAGGGAATGCTGGTCCACTCTCCCGGGCGTGTGGCACGGGTGGGTATCGACCCCCTGCAAATTAAGGCCAATGCCTGAGGCTACACAGGCAATCAGAGGAGGCACAGCAGCAGCAGCAGCAGCAGCAGCAGCAGCAGCAGCAGCACAGGAGTAAGGGGATGACGGCGGCACCGACATACGCACATATCCAGGACCCTAGATTAGACAGCGCCTTGAGAAAGGTCGGACGGTGAACACACCAAGGACTGGCATGGTTACTACAGTTATGCCATCGACTGAGACTTGGCTTCTTTGGCCTTCACTCTAGCGAGAAGGGCTGCCATTCTCTGCTCATACTGTGGGGCGGCGTCATTAGAGGAGAAACCTCTGGGGACGGACGACACAGACTGCACCTCTTGGGAACTGGCGAGGGTCGCATCAAGTCGAGAAATGGGGATGGCCTTATCTAAGCGTTCCCGCAATCTTGGGTTTGGCCCTAATCCCAGACGAAACGCGCTCAACACCTCATCCCTTAGAAGTCGGTGCTGCACATGTCTTAGCAAGTATCCTCCCATGCGTCCAGCCACCACAGTTGAGACCCAAGAACTGTTGCTCCTTGACTTCAGTGCGTCCAGAACCAGAGACAGGACCCGAGGAAGCACTAGAAACAGTAGTAATTGCCGTTCCCGACACAGCGACGAGAGAATGGCCCTTGGGATCAGCGAGCAACTTCGCTATAGCAGACGGCGTGCCTTGACAGCCATCGGCTGGGCGATCAGACGACGTACTGATAATTAGACAGTGAGCACACTGGATCCCGAGCTCTGTGCAACGCCACAAGTGCCAACTCCTCTTGGCTCGGGATCGTTGTTGGCTCGTCGGGGCAGCACGACGCCACCTCATCTCATTGCGAAAGAGAGGGGGGGTCGCACTAGCCAACAAAAAATAGCCTGGCGAAGGACCCAACCATATGCAATTGTGAATGCCGCAATTGTGTTGGGTGGTGGCGGACGCATGCGGGCGGTGCCACTGGGTGGAACTCCCTATGGGGCCACCAAACGCTGTACTGGGTGGGTGAGACGCGGTCAGCAAGGGCTGTGCTGCGTGGTGGCGGACGCATGCGAGCGGTGCCACTGGGACCTTCGGTGGAGCTCCCTATGGGGCCACGAAACGCTGTACTGGGTGGGTGAAACGCAGGCAGGGAGCAAGGGCTGTGCAGGGTGGTGGCGGACGCATGCGGGCGGTGCCGCTGGGACTTTTGGTGGAGCTCCCTATAGGGCTACGAAGCGCTGTTCTGGGTGGGTGAAGCGCAGGGAACAAGGGCTGTGCTGGGTGGTGGCGGACGCAAGCGGGCAGTGCCACTGGTACCTTTGGTGGAGCCCCCTTATGGGGCCACGAAACGTGCGAGGGGTGTGCCAGAATGGGGGGTGGAACCGCATGCGGGCGCAGCCACTGGGGCCTTCGGTGGAGCTCCCTATGGAGCCACGAAACGTGTGAGGGGTGTGCCAGAATGGGGGGTGGAACCGCATGCGACCGCAGCCACTGCGGCGTTCGGTGGAGCTCCCTATGGGGGCCACGAGACGTGTAAAGGGCGTGCCGAAAAAAAAACAAAAAACAAAAAAAAACGTATCGAACCGCATGCGAGCGCAACCACTGGGGCAGTCGGTGGAGCTCCCCATGGGGCCACGAAACGTGTGAGGGGTGTGCCAGAATGGGGGGTGGAACCGCATGCGGGCGCAGCCCCTGGGGCGTTTCGGTGGAGCTCCCCATGGAACCACCCACGAAGCGTGTGAGGGCTGTGCCGAAATGGTGGGTGTGACCGCGTGCGAGCGCAGCCACTGGAGCGTTCGGTGGAGCTCCCTATGGGGCCACGAAACGTGTGAGGGGTGTGCCAGAATGGGGGGTAGAACCGCATGCGGGCGCAGCCACTGGGGCCTTCGGTGGAGCTCCCTATGGGGCCACGAAATGTGTGAGGGGTGTGCCAGAATGGGGGGTGGAAGCGCATGCGGGCGCAGCCACTGGGGCGTTCGGTGGAGCTCCCTATGGGGCCACGAAACGTGTGCTGGGTGTGCCGAAATGGGGTGTGGAACCGCATGCGGGCGCAGCCACTGGGGCCTGCGGTGGAGCTCCCTATGAGGCAACGAAACGTGTGATGGGTGTGCCAGAATGGGGGGTAGAACCGCATGCGGGCGCAGCCACTGGGGCCTTCGGTGGAGCTCCCTATGGGACCACGAAGCGTGTGAGGGGTGTGCCAAATGAATGCGGGGGGTGGAACCGTGCGCCAGGGCGCATGCGGGCGCAGCTGGGGCCTTCGGTGGAGCCCCCTATGGGGCCACGAAACGTGTGAGGGGTGTGCCAGAATGGGGGGTGGAACCGCATGCGGGCGCAGCCACTGGGGCCTTCGGTGGAGCTCCCTATGGGGCCACGAAACGTGTGAGGGGTGTGCCAGAATGGGGGGTGGAACCGCATGCGGGCGCAGCCACTGGGGCCTTCGGTGGAGCTCCCTATGGGGCCACGAAACGTGTGAGGGGTGTGCCAGAATGGGGGTGGAACCGCATGCGGGCGCAGCCACTGGGCCTTCGGTGGAGCTCCCTATGGGGCCACGAAACGTGTGAGGGGTGTGCCAGAATGGGGGGTGGAACCGCATGCGGCGGTGGAGCTCCCTATGGGGCCATGGGCCTTCGGTGGGGCTCCCTATGGGGGTGTGCCAGAATGGGGGGTGGATGCGCGCAGCCACTGGGGCCTTCGGTGGAGCTCCCTATGGGGCCACGAAACGTGTGATGGGTGTGCCAGAATGGGGGGTGGAACCGCATGCGGGCGCAGCCACGGGCGCCTTCGGTGGAGCTCCCTATGGGGCCACGAAACGTGTGAGGGGTGTGCCAGAATGGTGGGTGGAACCGCATGCGGGCGCAGCCACTGGGGCCTTCGGTGGAGCTCCATATGGGGCCACGAAGTGTGTGAGGGGTGTGCCAGAATGGCGGGTGGAACCGCATGCGGGCGCAACCACTGGGGCCTTCGGCGGAGCTCCCATGGGGCCACGAAACGTGTGAGGAGTGTGCCAGAATGGGCGCGGGAGGGGGAGGAGGGGGGAGGAAGGAGAGGAGGAGGAAGGAGGAGGAGGAACGCAGGGCAACGTCTCTTCAAAACGATGACCCAACACCACATAATGGTTGGGATATAATAAAATTAGCCTGGCGAAGGACCCAACCATATGCAATTGTGAATGCCGCAATTGTGCTCGGTGATGGCGGACGCATGCGGGCGGTGCCACTGGGACCTTCGGTGGAGCTCCCTATGGGACCACGAAACGCTGTACTGGGTGGGTGAGACGCGGTCAGCAAGGGCTGCGCTGCGTGGTGGCGGACGCATGCGAGCGGTGCCACTGGGGCCTTCGGCGGAGCTCCCTATGGGGCCACGAAACGCTGTACTGGGTGTGAAACGCAGGCAGGGAGCAAGGGCTGTGCAGGGTGGTGGCGGACGCATGCGGGCGGTGCCGCTGGGACCTTTGGTGGAGCTCCCTATAGGGCTGCGAAGCGCTGTTATGGGTGGGTGGAGCGCAGGGAACAAGGGCTGTGCTGGGTGGTGGCGGACGCAAGCGGGCAGTGCCACTGGGGCCTTTGGTGGGGCCCCCTATGGGGCCACGAAGCGTGCGAGGAGTGTGCCAGAATGGGGTGTGGAACCGCATGCCAGCGCAGCCACTGGGGCCTTCGGTGGAGCTCCCTATGGAGCCACGAAACGTGTGAGGGGTGTGCCGAAATGGGGGGTGGAACCGCATGCGAGCGCAGCCGCTGCGGCTTTCGGTGGAGCTCCCTATGGGGCCACAAGACGTGTGAAGGGCGTGCCGGAAAATAGTGTGGAACCGCATTCGAGCGCAGCCACTGGGGCCTTCGGTGGAGCTCTCTATGGGGCCACGAACCGTGTGAGGGGCGTGCCGAAATGGAGGGGGGAGGGGGGGGGGCGCATGCGAGCGCAGCCAGCCACTGGGGCGTTCGGTGGAGCTCCCTATGGAGCCACCCGCAACGTGCGAGGGGTGTGCC